CTCATCAGAGAAGGCTACGAAAACGATCCGATCAGTCCATGCATCTTCATCAGAAAATATCAAAACAAAGGATTTGTAATCATAGCAGTATACGTGGATGACTTGAACATCCTTGGAACATCTGGTGAAATCGCCCAAACAGTTGAATGCTTAAAAGCAGAGTTTGAAATGAAAGACCTAGGCAAAACTAAATTCTGTTTGGGATTACAACTTGAGTACGTCAATGACGGAATCCTTGTGCATCAATTGGCATACACTGAAAAGGTACTCAAGAGATTCAATATGGACCAGGCCCACCCATTGACCAGCCCAATGGTTGTGAGGAGCCTTGGATTGGATAATGATCCATTCGGTCCAAAGAAGGACGATGAAGAAATCCTCGGTCCTGAAATGCCATACCTCAGTGCCATAGGAGCATTAATGTACTTGGCTAGTCACACTAGACCAGACATCTGCTTTGCCGTGAGCCTCTTAGCTCGCTTTAGTTCGTGTCCAACTCAAAGGCACTGGAACAGTATTAAGCACATCCTTAGATACCTTCAAGGTACTAAGGACTTGGGATTATTTTATTCTAACCATAACAAGGATGGTCTAGTTGGTTTTGCTGATGCAGGATATTTGTCAGATCCGCACTGTGCCCGGTCTCAAACCGGTTATGTTTTCACGCATGTAGGAACAGCCATATCTTGGAGATCCATGAAGCAGACTATTGCCGCTACCTCATCCAACCATGCGGAAATCTTGGCCATTCACGAAGCTAGTAGAGAGTGTGTTTGGTTGCGGTCCATGACTCAGCATATCCGATCAGATTGTGGTATGGACGAAGATAAGGAGCCTACGGTGATGTATGAAGACAATGCAGCTTGTATCGCTCAACTCAAGGACGGCTACATCAAAGGTGACTGGACGAAGCATATTCTGCCCAAATTCTTCTTCACTCATGAGCTACAGAAGGATGGTCAGGTCAAGGTTCAGCAAGTCCGATCAAGCGAAAATTCAGCCGATCTATTCACTAAATCATTACCGACTTCTACACTCCGGAAGCTCATTCATCAGATAGGAATGCGTAGACTTAGAGATCTACAGTGATGCCTAAACCAGGGGGAGTAATGCGTGTTGTACTCTTTTTCCTTCACCATGGTTTTTCCCACTGGGTTTTCCTGGTAAGGTTTTAATGAGGCAACGTTCCCCTGCGCATTATAGAGATCCCGGTTTTGTGACAGGCACGGTTACCTTGTCCAAGGGGGAGTGTTATAAACAAATGGACTTCTAGTAACCGGCCCATTAACCATCAGGTTAATGTTTCATGCCCCATTAGGGTTTCTGATACATTAGTTATGTAATATATATATACACTGCTTATGGAAATAATAAAATCAGAGTTTTTCCCTTAATAGAATATTTGTATTTGAAACAATCATTTTCAAATGCATATATTTTATTGTGTTGTGAGTATGGAAAAATTAACATAGTTTATATGAAAAAATTGCAGGATGGAGAGTGGAGACTATGAGAATGAAAAATATAATAGAGAAAATATGTCGATAAAATGGTTGATGTATTTGTAAGCTCGTTAAAATTGTTATTTCAATAAAAAAGTAACGTTAAAATTATTATTTCAATGAGTTATTATTTAAAAAATAATCATATATGGATATGTGCTCTTGTTTTTAGCCCATTTGAATATTCACTAACGTCGAGTTTTTGTACACTAGGTGCGTTTATTACTTGTGAAAGTTTTCTTAGCAATGTGTACTATTGAAGGCAGAGGAATGCCAAAGAGTATTATTAGAAAGCTAAAGCTAAACTAATGAAGAGCTAAATGGTATAAGGAGGTTATTTTATTTCCACGATATCTTCTGGTATATTTGAATTCGCCATGTGGTTTGGCCTGATATGAAGCCTATAATCTCAGACAAACTTCTCCATGTACGAATTGGATGGGTTGTCGGCAAGCTCTACTCCAACCGCGACCGCTGTCTGCAACAAAAAAGAAACACCGCTAAAGAACAAGACTTGTATGATATGAAGAAGACACATATAGTCCAAGACTCCAAGTTTACCAAGGAGATGGAAAGAGACCTCATAGCACCAGCAGCGGACAACATTTCGAAGAGAGTAACTTTCACCACCTAAGAACATGAGAGGAATATTAAATGATCTTCTGTACCGGAGGCAAAGAACTTGACCCAGGGTAGAGAAGTTGAATTGACCCATTGGATCACCACTTAATAAATCAGGCCCACGCTGAAGAACAACTGCTTCTGGCTGATAAACTTCCATAACCTTGTGGATAATAATAAGTATGCGAAAACTTGCATCGTTCAAACCATTTTTTAGTGGTGCGTTTAGAGAATAATATTCTCCTTTTCCTACCCCATATATATAGTCTGTTAATTAATTCTCCTGTTCTTGGCTGAGGAAACTCCCCACATTTGTGGAAAGAAACAGTCATTACTCGATCAGTGTCGTAAAACGCTTCTTGTACTGCATCCGCATGGTGAAAGCCAATGTCTATGTATAGAACTCGCTGTTAACCAATTTTTTTTTAAACGCCCTTAGTCATTATAGGTTTTGATATTCTGTCGCTTACATGTAATTTTGAATTCTCTTCAAATTGTTGAAAAATTTTAAATGGTGGAAGATTATTATTGGAAAAGATAATGTACAAAAAAAAGTTAAGAAAAAAATGACAGTAATATAGTTATGAATAGTGGTTAAAAATAGTTTTGTTAGTAACATTTATGTGGTTATATTGTAAAATAAATAAAGACAATAAGAATAAAATTTAAAAATAACTGAGCTAAAAATGATTTATTTTCCACGCTTGATAACTTTGTAAAAATATTTTTACTAACGACTATGCACAGAAGACGTGAAATAGTAAAAAAATTGTCATATATGAAACCGAACATGGTATATGTAACATCCTTATCCCAAGCTCCTAAGAGAGTGGGGAACCGGGTATGTTAGATCGGCCATCGAACCGTGTCCGGTAGGATATCCGATTTGGTGAGCACACAGGATCGTCAGGAAAACGCCCAGGTAACAATCAACAACACAGACTTAAGCTGATCTCTCTACTAAACCTGAAAGACAAGGGGAGAGGAGGGGTGAGTAATTGGGATTACTCAGTGAGGATGGACCTTAAGGAGGCCTACAACATCATCGAACTAGCATAAATTGGTTTTAAGAGATCTAATCCTAAAGCAAGCCCAAGCAACATATATATATATATATATATATATTTACTTATATATAGACACTTCATTCCTAACAATCAATCACACAACAATCAAGGGTAACCCTACAAGCAACTACACAAGCAACGGGTCCCTGGACTTGACAGTTACAGTGGACTGCCACGTAGGGCCCCCATGCCTCACCCGGAAAGGCAACCAGAATAATCCCATCCAATGGCTGGCCTATTACCATACCCATTAGTCAGGTCATTCTGCCAGTCACACAGACTGGTCCACAGCAATCACCAAGACAGGCTATGACACTAACGGTCACTCAGACGGCTGCTCATAGCGGTCTCACCAGAAAGCTGTATCCAGCGGTCCCTTTAGACGGCTCAATAACAGTGGATCGCTAATCCACTCCAGCGATGGCTCTAGCCGTGCCTCACACGACAGCGATAGCCAACAAACAACACTGACTCCCGCCTCCAGGAGCCAGGGGTCCTATCAGAGATCTATATGCACAATCATCCATTTCAAAGAATCATCCATTTCTTAAAGGTCCTTCCATTATTAAGATGCACTTTCGGTGATACCAATTGTAACAAAAAGTAACAATAATCAGGTTAACATCACACAATCAATATTTTAAAGTCCAATAAGTTTAGATCAAAGTTCAGGTTAATTATCTCATTCCACCAGCAATCATCAGCAGACAGGCAACATAGATCCAGGTCCTAAACAATTCTAACAGCCCTAACAAGCAGATCTAAGCCTGATCTAAGAAAAGGTCACTTAAAAGACAACCTTGCATATGTAAGAGAGGATGAAGCCACAGAGCCCTCACCTTGGCTTAGAAGGCTGAGAGACTGGAGGAAGAGGCAAAGGAGAAGGAGATCTAAGAGGAGATCCATCAGAATCAGATCCCATCTCACCCAAAGGAGAAGGAGGCGGCGCAGACATCACAGCTGGGCAAGGAAGCTTCGGCGAAGAGAGAGGCTTGGAGGATGGCGGCGGCCGCGGCAAGGAGAGAGAAAGACACGGCCAGGAGAGAGAAGGAAGAAGAAGAAAACGCAGAGAGAAAGAGGGAAGAGAGCAGCTCGGCGCAGAGAAGAGAGAAAGAGAGAAGAAAAAGGTGGCTAAGGCTGATTAGGAGCTTAATGAGAGTTTTAGAGATTTAATTAGGTATTTATATAGAGGTTAAATAGATGGGCTGGGCTTAATGGGCTCTTAGAAAGAAATTAGGAAAGGTCCAAATAAAAAGGAAATAAAAAGAAGGAAATATAGATGGTTTAATTTAATAAAACCGGAATTAGGATCTAGTAACATCCGATATTTGGTTAAAAAAAATCGAGATGTTACAGTATAAATTTAAAGTTAAGCTTGACTTTATATCGTTGAGTTACTTTGGGTATTGCAGACAAACAAAATTCGATGAAAATATAAACAATTCATTAGCATGATATATGAAGTGTCAATTTGGAGCTTAATCTTTATTCTATTACGTAAAAACAAATACAAAACACGATTCATTCACATGGGAAGATTTGAGATTGTACAAACGAATCAACATCAATTGATAATTAAAGCCATGATGAGCCACTTTAAATTACTTGAAAAATACACCAAATCGATTTCTCTGCTTAATGCAATGAAAGAAGTAAAGAATATTCGATCAAATAACAACAGAATTGTCCAAAACACCCCCGTAATGTCAAACAAATTAAACGAATTTTCATTTTTCCTACATACGATAGGGCCCCACTATGATGTCATTTCCTAGTTATAAATACATTCCCTTCGACCCCCATTTTTCTCGGTTTAAGCCAAAGAAACCAAAACCTACTGAAAAAAAAGTAGAAACCACCACTCCCAAATTTCCTCTTCCCCAAAAAATACTCCCAACAATTTGAAATTCGAGAAGCTTCTTTCGAAGAAACCCCTAATAATGGTGACCGCTGCTAAAAATCCGGCAACGAAGAACGGCGGAAGCAGTCTCAAGTTCCTCTGTAGTTACGGCGGCAGAATACTTCCTCGTTCAATCGACGGGAAGCTCCGTTACGTCGGAGGTTTCACCAGAGTGCTCTCCGTTAACCATTCCATCTCTTTCACAGGCCCGTTCAAAATTTCCCCCAAATTTGATTTCAATTTCAATTTCTCGAAGGAAGTGAGTTTTGATTTCGATTTCTCTCTTCTTCTTCAGAGCTGATGGTGAAATTAGAAGAATTCTGTGGATACTCCGTTGATTTGAAGTGCCAATTACCAAACGGAGATCTCGAGACGCTAATCTCCGTCAAATCAGACGAGGATCTCGCGAACATCGTGGAGGAATACGATCGCGTCCACGGAGGCAAGATCCGAGCAATTTTGTCGCCTCCTAAGCTCATATCGCCACCATCGAGCGCCGGCGATCTGTCGCCGAAATCTCCGTTCTCCGTCGTGGCTTCTTCGCCACCGAAATCTCCGACGCTTCTACATCCTCGGTATTGTGTGGCTCCGATGGAGAATCTTCCAAGTAGAATATTCCGTATGCGAGCGGAGGAATATTCTCATTGCTGTAAATGCCGTGTGCACAACCGAGACTCCAAGCTTATCTGGCATTGACGGTGACCGTCAAAACAAGAATCAGAGTTTTTTTAAAAATAATTTTGAAGGGAGATAAAATTTAGGCTTTTTATATAAAGGTCGATGATGTGTTTGGTTGTGATGAGATATTAAGGAAATTACTGAAATTTTGAGGTCGGGAATATGAGACGGAGAAGAAGACGGAAATTTTTTACCGGCCGTTTATCTTCCGTTATCTTTGCTGTTAAGATATGTGGGAAACGTACAACGTCTGTTTTTTTCAATACGTGGTACGTTACGACCGTTCCAGACGTGGAACGTGTCGAAGTCAGAAGCGAGAGCACGTGTGTGTCTCGTGGGTCAGTGGTGTATTTCCTCACACGTGTATGCTTAGACTCTGACGCAGTGACGCTGAGTTTTTTTTTTTCTTTTTTTTTCCTTGGCTCTCCTTTTCTTTTTCTTTTTATTTATTTTTTTTGTTAAATGTTTGTTTCCCTTGTATCCCTTTTTGTATTTTGTATATTAATTTGGTATTTGTCGTTTTACATCTATGTCTAGTCAGACTAGCGTAGGAATGAATAGTTTTTGTCCAGTTCAGTTATACTTTTCTCAAAGCAAAATCCATATTATACATCCGATGCCAGAACATATAAACAAACTAGCCGTTTCTAAAAAAAATTGTTATTTAAAATCTTATAAACGATTAGCGATTGAAGTTTGGATTTTGTCACACGAATTTCGGTTAAATTAGAATTTAAATGACCAAAGCCAGTAAATATCATTGTCAAAACGACTTGACCAAAGTCCTGAGAGACGCAATAAAACTAAGATCAAATTAAATTTGGAGGCTGGAATATTGATTTGATCCTGACGGACCAAAGTCAAAAATTTATTAAATACCAATTTAGTGAGAAAAGACTCGACTAAGAACGCAATTTAAGACTAAGATTAAGCTAAAATGACAACCGAAGCTGTAACAGTTCTTTATTCCACAAGAGATACTGAGAAATGGTTAAGCGATATTTTTGTTTTTATCAAGTTTTCTTGTTTGAATACTTATTTATAGTCGACTACCTTAGGAGGACCAAAACGTGGATTTGAAAAAGTTATTGACCAAATTACACATGTTCACAATGTAATGTTAATACAACATTAACGCGCACAATATGAGAAAGATAACGCAAACAATAAATACGTGAGAACCAAAAAAAAAAAGATTAACTAGAAGCTACAGAAGACAACAATTTATGTCATTTATTTAGTTAAAAATTAGATTAAATCATTAAAATTAACCATGTTTGGTCCGGAGGTCAAATATTTTCTTTCGTTTATATATTTAATGAATTAAAAAAATTCGGAGCGACTGGCACAAGCTTGAAATGAGTTATGTTTAGTGTTTACACCTAGTAAGAATGTTTTTCTAAGAAAATTAATATATGTGTAAAGTTTGATTGGACCATTTGTTGAGAAATTCGATTTACTCGACATCGTTAGATGTAATTAATTAACAAATGTCATAATCATGTCACTGCATCACTCAGCTAATCAATCGTCTAACCTTTTTCAGGTAAAAAGTTGGGAGGAATAGGAAATGTAAGGCGAAAATAGACACAAATCTAACTTTGGTGCGAATAATACTGGTTAAACGTCAGCATCACGGTCCCTATAATATACAAGATAAGATGCGCACCCGAAAAACCTACGCATCAAATAATCCGGCTCCATGTCAAAAGTTGTTTCCTTTGCATCATTTTCTGAATCTTCAAATTTCTTCCGGAATCTTCATTCTCTCTTATCTGCTATAGGATCTAAAAACCGGTTCAAAATAATCGCTATACAATTTTCAAACTTTAAACCTGATCCGGCCACATGTTATCCGGCTGATTATGAAGATTTTGATTGTTTAAAACACAGTTTTGTGCGTTTGCGTTTACTTAAACAAAAGGAAAAAAAAAACCAATTTTTTTTCTTCAGAAAATGTACTTGCAATGCGCAAATGCAGCCGCAGAAAGTTGTGGTAAAAGAGACAAGGAGAAGTTGATGTATTCAAAAACAAACAAAGATCAAAAATACGTCTGAGACCAAAACTCTTGGCTGATAAATAAAGTGGTATATTAGTATATGATGTCTCTTTGTGATCTTTCTTCTTTCAGCTATCAATCAGACAGTCGCATGTGTGAGGAAGAAACACATAAGCTTATCATGTTTCTGCAAACAAGCCCCCCACATGGCCAAGGCAGACAGGTAGGGAGGTTTCATCTTCGGATAAGAGTTTTATGACTTTTCTTGTCGTCTAAAATTCAGAAACTCTTTTTTTTTTGAAAAAAAAAAACGGTGTTAGCACTGCATTATGAGTATCTATCTGATTTCCATTGTAAATTAATCAACAAAGTCTCTAACTTAGAAACATCAGAGATTAAATTCACAGAAATCTTTTGAGAAATTGTAATACATGATCTATATATCTTAGTTGCCATCAAGAACTTAATCTGTTATCATAGAGATGAGAGCAAAGAGAAAGACTCTATATTTGCTCTTAATTACTTACCAGTTGTACTGAAAAATATACTCACACTTTAGCCTATTTGGTCCTAATATGCTATGATTTGAGCTAGACCAAACCAAATTAATCGAAGCGTAATTCACGGATTCAACAAATTCACACATCTTCGAAATTCTTTGCCAAAAACACATCGATGATGAAACTAAAATTCGCTTCATTTGTATTCCCATGACTGCATTCTCTGAATGATAATAATTTTTTTTTTCTTTCACTAATAAAAACAAGAAAGAAACAGAGAAAGCTCAAAAAAATGACAAATGAAATACAAACTGGTTATGAACAGTCCTACAACATCCTTCAGTGTTCCATCAACAAAGCTTACAAAATAAACTCACTACAAACTTTATTTTCATAACCTTGCCGTGCGTGCAACAGGCAAACAGGTAGAGGAGAGGATTAGGGAAATGAATGTTAAAGAATCTAACTTCCAGAGAGGTTCTAAGATTTACCTCAAGCTGCACCGAAGAGCTCAGTGATTTTAGGGTGTGTTCTAAAGTGATGGGGACATATGAAGACGAGATTTTTCGCATCAGCGAGTCTTCCTTCTCGGTAGAAAGATTCGATAACACGAAAAATGGCTGCAAAGGAAGGAAAATCCTTTGAGCTTAGCACATCCAAGAACTTCTTAGCGTCTTCCACAGACCCAAACTTTGCAAGATATCCATCAAAAGGTTCAGCATAAACAGGGTAGTTTTGCTTCTTCATCATCTGAAGAAGATCTAGCGCCTCCTCTCCCTTCTTGATCTCTAGCAGCTTGTCTATCAGAGCCTTGTAAGTGTTTTGCCAAGGCTTTACATTGGCATTTCTCACCATCTCCATAAGGAATTTGCACGCACCCTCGATCCTGTTTTGGCTAAGAAACCCATTTACCAAGACAGCAAGCAGATCAGAGTCGATATCAAACCCTTTCTCTAGCATATTCCCAAAACACGCAAAGGCCTGATCCACTTCACTGTTTTTGCAATGCCCTTGGATCAGAATAGTCCAAGTTTTTATGTCCGGAAAACATCCTTGCGCTTCCATTTGTTCTAAGACACCACGCGCTTCTTCTAATCTCTTAGCTTTACAGAGCCCAAACACAAGTTGACTGTATGTGATGTTATCCGGCTCATAACCCGAGTCTCTCATAGCCTTAATAATTTCCTCAGCTTCGTCAAATCTCCCTACACTGGTTAAAGACCTGTGGATTCCATCATAAACAGCCTTTGAGAGAGACTTCCCAGTTGATTCATATTTTCTTGAAACCCGAAATACCAAATCCAAATCTGGTTTATGACCAGCCGATAAGGACCTCAACAGAAGACTACAATCTTGAGCAGATGGCTTGAACGGACCATCCATCATAAGCTCGTAAAGCTTAACTGCCTCGATCATCATTCTAGATTTCTGAAACTGTCTTAAAACCTTTATATAAGTGTCAAGATCCACCTCGTGCCCTGCTACTTTCATTTCATCAACAACACTCCAAAACTCTGCAACCGAATTAGGCCTAGCCAATACCCTCAACGCTGCGTTGTAAGTAATGGTACTGTGTTTATAACCAGAAGAACTACCACCAACCCAATGGAAAAATGCCAAAGCTTTCAAAGGATGATCCCTTAGCTCCTTCAACACCCTGATAACGAAATTATCCGACAAAGCGAGTTTCATATCCTGCAATTTGCTCTCAACCTCATAACTCCAATCCACTTTTGAAACTAGAGCAGAAACATTACCTGCAACAACGGACATTGCGTTCTCCTTTAGCATTCTCTCATAGAAATGAGCCAAAGCCACAGCATCCGCTTTCGAATTCTCCTTATCAAGCAAACTGTAAACGGTCTGATACGTTTCCTCATCCATATAAAACCCTCCTCGTTTCATATCGCTAAGTGTCATCCAAAATCGCTTCATGGATCTCTGCTGCACTAAAATCCTAAGCATCGTGCTATAAAGTGGAGAACTTGGACTAAGCCCTGATTCTCTGATAACCCAATCGAGAAAGCTATAAGCTTTATCTGGGTGCTTATCTAATTTCCTAAGAACATAGATTGCGGTTTCGTGGGTTAAAGGCATATCCGGTTTCTTCAATCCTTCCTCTACTTCCCTGGACCAATCATTTTCCACTACTAACTGAAGCATAGACTCTGGTTTCGAAGAAAAAGAGCGGAATTTCCACGGAAATCGACTAGGGATTACAAAGGAATCAAATGGCGAAGACGAGTTTGAGGAAAACCCCACCTGAGCTCGGCTTAGATACGACCGAGTCGAGATCGTTGAGTAACTTTTTCGAAGAGAAGACAGGACTGTTTTTGATCTGTACATGGCTGCTTGCTGCTTCGATCAGATAGAAACGGAACGAAGAAGATACAGTGACGAGTGACGACAATAGGGTTTATGATGCAATTTCCTGAAATTGGGGTTTAAGAGCTTCTTAAACTATGCGTTTTATCAGACGATATTCATTATTGGGCTTTTAGCCCATTTATATCAAATAGTTGGATCTAGTCTAGGCCCCTGATTCCTTTACCAGCAAGAAAACAAATGTTTGATTAGTTTTAGGCTTTTAGCGTATATGAGAAAGAAAATCAAACATTGACCTTTTTGTGTTTGTCGACAAATGTAAACGTAACAAATGAAATTCAACACATTAAGTAGTGGGAATCTTTAACTTGCAATCTCACTAAAGCCTCTTCACAGATCTCAGGAGGAAACTCCTTCAAAAACTCAGAAACAATACGTTCTTGATCTCTCTGCATCTCTTCAATCTCCTCTCTCTGTTTCTTCAACAAAGACTCAAGTTTCTCAACTATAACCTCAACGTCGTGATCACTGATCGGTCCTTGTGATGAAGAAAGCTTAGAAGAACGTTGTGTGAATGGTGAACGTGAATCTGCAGCTTCAGCTTTAGGAGAGGACCAGAATTTTCTCCCCGAGGGAAATCTATCTAAACGCAGCGTTTCAGGAGAAGAAAAACATTTGTGTATTGCTGAATAATCATCTCCAATGAGATGAGAACTAGAAGGAATCCAATCTGGAATGTGTGAATGTATCTCTGCGTCGATCATTTTAGCGATCGCTGAGATGTCTTGATCATCGGTTAGGTCTAATTCCTCGACCATTTCAATGGCCACTGAGAAAGATGTGTCTGTCTCTATGTTAAATGGGAAGTGAATATTACGTATTTGACCTGTATAAAAATGTCATAATGATCAAGATTCAATGATGATAAATATTAATATGACGATCTTAGCTTCTTCTTTTCTTTAACATTTTAAGGGTAAAAGTTTAAAACCTTTGGAGTCGGTGATACGTAGTTTTAGGAAGATTGTGTTGAGGTCTTTACGTTGGCCTTCTACGGTTAATAAACCTAACGCAGAATCCGAGAGTTTATCTTCGATTTCTCTTCCATTGCGTCCATTTTCTGTATCGATTAGAAGTGCATGGCGAGTGTTATTATGGGGAATTGTCTAAAATAGCACACAATCTATACTTTTTGTTCCAAAAATGGTTATATGTCTCAAACTCGCAATTATTGGTTTTAAGATAGAAGTCTATGATTTAGATGAAATTAATAACGTATGATTTACCTTTTTGAGAGGTGATTTCGGTCTTTTCCTTGTGGCATATCAGAAAAGGATCATCAAGTAGTTCCTTGGCAGACAAGCGTTCTGAGACCTTTGCGATACACTTCTCTATGAATGTTCTCACTTGCAGATCAGCCACTTTCGCAAGTGAGGCCGGTTTGATACCCTAATAAGCATCCATTAAAAAAAAATGGATTGACAAAGTGAAAAAAATCATATTCTTGATTGGATTTGAGATGGAGAAAAAATATTACTTACCGATGTAACTTTCTTATAAATCTGAGCAGCATTTGTACATTCGACATACGGGTACTCGAAAGTTACAAGCTCAAGCAAACACATTCCAAATGCATATATATCCACAAGTACATTATAGTCTTCTTCATAGAGTTCCGGTGCCATAAATTCAGGAGTGCCTTAGCAATTTCAAACAAACAATTATAACTAAGAAAAAAAGTTTGAGTTTGAGAATGAACAAGCTTAAAGAACTCACCAATGACACTATGAGCAGAGCGAGCTCGGTGCAGAATCGCGGCTAGACCGAGATCTCCGATTTTGACCTCACCTTGGTTCCCATTAATGAAAATGTTATCACATTTGAGATCTCTATGGATAACAGGAGGATCATGACTATGAAGATACACAAGCCCTTCTAATATCTGTCTTGACCATTTCTTCAATGCTCTTAGATCAACGCACTTATGCTTCTTCCGGTACCTAGAAGCTCGAGGAGAATTCGAATAGATCCACACAAAAAAGGGTTCTCGTTAAAACACATAATCAAACAGTAGGAAATTGATCAATTTGAGATTTTAAGAAAGGAGAAATCTGACTGTCTAAGATTTCCGGAAGTGAAGACTTCGGTTATGAGATTGATGGTCATGTGTTGGTGATCGATCCAAGAAGTGTAGAATTTGATGATGCTTTTGTGTTTAAGGGTTTTGAGTAAGTGAACTTCAGAGTAAAGACGCTCTAAATCCTCTGAGCTACAGAGTTTATCGTCTAGCTTAACTTGGTTCCAAGCCACTTCGATTCCTTCGAGTTGATCAAATGCTCTGTATCTGAAGAATTTCTCTGATTAAAGAAAACCCTTTTAGTGACTGTTTCTTTTCTTCTTGTTGTTAAAAACAGAGACCAATTTTGTCTCTGGAGCTTTTCTGTAATAACAGGAAACAGAGATATGTGAAAAAGGATACACTTGTTTGAAAGCTCCTTTGCCTAGAACTTCATTATACTACAGAATGAGAAACAACAAAAAAAAAAAGATTAGATTCGATAGATTAAATGGAGAAATAAAATGGTTAGAAAGGAAATCAAATGAAGAATAACCGACTCTGCCATATCGACCAGTGGGATCAATCTCTACGAATTCTTCCTCGGAATTTTCCTCTTCTTGTCGCATTCTTGCGAGTCAAAAAAAAAAAAAAAAACAGAGGATTTGATTTCTTGAGAGAAGAGAGAACTAAGCCAAAGGAAAAAAAAAACGTTTTCTTCTTTGGGAAGAAATTTAAAAGGAGTATCTGATTATTATCATTATGATTCTTAAGTATTACTTAGCTGTTTTTGAGTATTAAATGATTTATTTAATTGTTAATTTGACTTCTTATCTGCCATTAAAACCAAGCTTAAGCTTTGCTCGTTTCCAGCTCTCTCTCTCTCTCATCTTCAATTTTGGACACTCAGATCCACTGGACAAGGCCACGCGGCAGAGGTGTGGGTCGTTGCATTTTTCGCGCCATAGATCTGGTTTTTTATTTTATTTTCTCATCTATATCATCATTTATTGTCATGTGATTTTAAGTATCTCAATCAATTATTTTTGCTTACTCGGTCAACTTCAAGGTTTTTTCTGACAGAATCAGGAATAATTGGTTATGACTTATGACTAGTAAAACAAAAGATTCCGTCGTTTTCTTCTTCCTCAAGTCACAGACTTTTAGCTGCTAGGTAAGTCCGTAAGTATACATAATCGAGGTTCGAAACTATATATGAGTCTATGATTGGAAAGACTTTTCACAAGAAAAACCAGACCTGAAGCAAGAATTTTTTTCCAAGAACCAAACATTTTAAGCCTTGTATACTTTATATATATCCAAGAGATTAAGGGGATAGTAACTACGTACCGTGGAGAACCTGCGTTGTATACTTATTGTTATGTCAGTCCAAAAGATCTTAAAACCTCTTCACAAGAAAAAATCTTGAAGAACTCAAAGAATCCAGAGGTGCAAATGATGATCATTATACTTCTCTTATGTTCAATAATCTTCATTACCATTCTCTTCTTTAAAAAACAGACGACAGGAAAAAAAAACAGCACACTAGCGTCACCACCGAGACTTCCGTTGATGGGAAACCTATACCAGCTCCGTCGTTAACCTCACCGATCACTATGCTCCCTCAGCCACCGTTACGGTCCTCTGATCATGCTCCTTCAGTTTGAAATACAGATTCAATTATGTTTTAGTATATAACCATTAGGTCATGTTTTGGTTTTCTTTTTTCAGAATGTTTTATGTTATGTGTACAATAAACATGTTTCCTAATTTGAAACTCTTACTAGCGAATAGACCTTTGTGATTTGAGTTCTTGAGTAACTAGGATAATTTAAAAAGCCAAGTGAGCTTACTTATTTTTTTTGGATAAGCATCGACATTAATCCAAGGCCCAAAACACTTAGTAAGTCAGTTAAAGAGTTAGTTAGGGTTTTGGTAATTCCCTTTAGGATTATGAGATATCTAGTTCTAATAAGAAAAAGAAAGTGGCTTAGCAAAGTTGTGCTAGACACTATATATGTATATGTAAGTTATTGATGAAGTTGCATCAATGAAAGATACACAAGCTTTGGTGTTTAGTTTTGAGTTAGTTTCTAAACATTAATAAGATAGTTATCCAAAGCGTATAGACTCTACAATCCAGAGACAAGGAGAATTTCAGTAAGCCGAGATGTGGTTTTTAATGAAAAAGCAAGCTGGAACTGGAATAAACCAAGAGATGGATCAGGAAGAAATTCAGGGATGTTTCAGATGAGATGGGGTGAAGTAGTTGATGCAGGGGAAGGACTTGCAGTAATCGGCTATGATCAAACACATGATGATGATGAAACCAAGGAGAATGAGCTCAATGACCATAGTGATCATAATCAAGAACCTGAAACTGACAACAATGGAGATCCACCTAATGAAGCTGATACACTTGAACAAGAACAGAGCAACCGCTTAGAAGATCAACTCGTCAAATACGCAGACCAGGCCATCTTAATCATTTTGTTCTACAGGCAGCGATAGAGTGTGAAAGAATACTACTCTCAATAGATGATGAGCCAAGGAATTTTAAAGATGCAAGAGGATCGTTAAAATGGAGGCAAGCATGTAGAGAAAAGATAAACTCTATCAACATAAAGAAGACATGGATTCTAATCGATAGACCAACAGAGACTAAGATCATTGGTCTCAAGTGGGTTTTCAAGATCAAGAAAAATGCAGATGGTACTATCAACAAGTATAAGGCAAGACTTGTGGCTAAGGGATATGTACAAGAATCAGGCATTGTTTTTGATGAGGTTTTGCAAGATTAGAGACCATAAGATTGTTGATAGCATTGGCAGCATCACATGGATGGGAGATCCATCACTTACATGTAAAGACGGTATTCTTACATGGAGAATTGAAAGAAGATGTATATGTTGAACAACCTGAAGGATTTGAGATAAAAGGGCAAAAAAATAAGGTATACAAGCTTTCAAAAGCTTTATACGGACTGAGACAAGCTTATCAAGCTTGGAACACGAAGTTAGATCAAATCTTGAAAGGAATGAGGTTCAGAAGATGCTCCAAAGAAAGCTCAATGTATCGCAGCAAAGAGGAAGGAACACTACTTATAGTTGTTATTTATGTGGATGATTTGTTTGTCACAGGAAACACTATCAAGGTTATAAGTGAATTCAAGATAGGAATGGCAACCAAGTTTGATATTTCAGACCTCGGGAAACTCACTTATTACCTTGGCATCGAAGTTCATCAAGGAAAGGATGGAATCGAGATCAAACAATAAGGCTATGCACGAAGGATCTTAGCAAAAACTGGCTTAGAAACCTGCAATCCGACTCAAATTCCTATGGATTTCGGGCTAAAGGTTTCAAAGGAAGAGATAGATCCTACGTGTTATAGAAGGAATGTAGGGTGCTTAAGGTATTTGTTACACACACTACCAGACTTGGCTTTCTCTGTTGGAGTTGCTAGCAAATATATGCAGAGTCCTTGCAAGTCGCATGGTAACATAATGAAGCACATACTATGGTATCTTAAAGAGACAATTGCTTTTGGCTTGAAGTTTTGTCATGGAGGAACAAAGAAGATCGTTGGCTTTAGTGACAATAGTCACAATGTGGATCCGAACGATGGTAGAAGTACCACAGGTCACATATTTTACTTTGGTTCCTCACGAATCACTTGGTGTTCACAGAAGCAAGACACAATGACTTTATCTTCATGTGAAACAGAGTTTATGGCAGTAACAAAGGCGGCTAAACAAGCTATTTGCTTCAAGAGATGTTGAGCAAGATTACAGGATGGAAGACCGAGCATATTGTCATCAAAGTCGACAACAAATCTGCAATGGCACTCACGAAGAACTTCGTATTTCATGGTAAAAGTAAACATATTCATAAGCGTTATAATTTTATACGAGAGTGCATTGAAAAGGAGTTAGTTGATGTGGAACATGTGCCAGGAGTTGAGCAGAAGGCTGACATCCTGACTATAGCTTTGGCAAGGATCAAGTTCAGTGAAATGAGAAGCTTAATAGGAGTACAAGACATGTCCAAGAACAAGTCAAAGCTTAAGAGGGAGAATGTTGAATAAGAGCACCTGTATTCATGATTTGGTTAGTGTATCATAAGCATTAATTTATTATTAATTTTAATGATAGTTTAAGTTTTGAGATCCATTATGAACTTTTTAACTTTTGTGGTTTATTAATAATACTCATTTGGTCTTAAAGAATAAAAAATCAAAAACATATCAATGTACAAAGCAATAATCCGGTTTTCACACAATCTTCAAACAAAAGTCATCGATAATCAATAAACGAACTCACCAGGGATGTGATTGTCTGAAACCGTTCTTGCCCAATGCTGATCCTTCTTCCACAGACACATGCAACCGGTTTTCACACATGCAAAAGTATTTGAAAATGTCAAACATCTCGCAAACCACGATCGATAAAAACTTGTAATCAAAACTTGTAAACACAGACATCGAACAATGATCATGACACGGAAAACGAATCGATCAAAACTAAAAGGTTCTGACACGGCGTAGAGAAGAAGATTTACCGGGAAAGGAATGCTCTGACACGGCGAAGGAAGGAGGAAGACGAGACGACCAAGGAAGGAGGAAGAAAGAATTTTTTTTTGAGAAAATGAATCTCATTTCGCAGATCTGGCCCAAAAAAAAACACACGAGCCACTCATATCTCGCCACGCGTCCGCATGAGACAGATATGAACTATCTCAGAAATCTCGTTGGGCTGAGATGTTTTATACACAAATTCATTCTGACCCAATTGTTTATTAATATTTGTTGGGTTAAAACCCAAAAGAAATCATGAATACATGTGCTCTAAGCATTGATATTAAGCCAAAGCCCAAGACACTTCGCAAGTCGGTTAAGAAGTTAGTTAGGGTTTTGGTAATTCCTTTTAGGATTAGGAGATATCTAGTTCTAATAGGAAAAGGAAAGTGATTTAACAAAGTTGTGCTAGACACTATATATATATATATATATATATAAGTCATTGATGAAGTTGTATCAACGAGAGATACACAAGCTTTGGTGTTTAGTTTTGAGTTAGTTTTTAAACATTAATAAGAGACTTATTCTTATAAACAAAGTGTGTTATTTTCTTAAACTACTTGAAATTTCGATGCTCATGTCTTAGAATAAACATAAGAATCTGTGTTCCTCCAAAACGTAGAGGATCATCCCAATAACTTTAAAATCATCAAAGTCTACATATATACACATGAAAAACTACATTACTTTCACTTCCATTATATATATTAAATGCGTTAATGCAATGTAGGATCTTTAACTCCATTATCTATGTTTGCAATGTTATATTTTTGTATGTTTTAACTCGTTGTGACTTGTGAGTCATTTTTTTTTTCTATTATATTATGCTCTGATATTCATTTTTGCATTTGAACTAGATGATTGTCCACGCGATGTGTGAATTATAATTTGTATATAATTATTTTTTTATACATAAATTACAAAATTGTGTTTATAAGTATATATATGAAAGGTAAATAACTTAATTTTTTCATGAGATCGACAAAAAAAGCTTGAACTTCTTAATTTATATATAGTTATATGTTATGAACAGTTAAAAAAATTAGGTAATTATCTTAAACATTAAAATACTATGAGAATAACATATATTATAAACGAGAATTTCACCCAAAAATGAATAAAGTATGTGTTGCAAACTATTTCTACCATATGTAATTGTAAAAATGTGAGATAAAAAGAAAAAAAAAACTGTTAAATGATTGAAAGTTAATAAAAACAAATAAAAACGTGAAAATGTGATATGGTAGTGTGAGATAATAGGTGAACAGGTATTTATTCTTATACAAATCTTGGTATTAAATGGTAATTTAATGTGTATATACAAAATTTGATTTTAAGAAAACTTTAAGATTAAACTTTTAAATTTCTATTGTTGTTATAAACACTATAAGATTGTAAATAATTGCAAAAATTTTTATTTAAAAAGAAATGGTAAAATCTTCAGACAATAAACAAATTAAAATCATATATGTGCTTCATTCTCCATATTGTAACTCATTTGTAAGTTTTGTTTGTTACACTTTAGGTATTTTTTTTTCTTTTTAACAGTTGCATTTCATTAATATCTGAGAATTAACATAGTCACAATGTAAATCATCAGAGATTACAAAAGCCACATTAATTAAAATAGTATGTTTTTTTTTTGCCAAACCATTAGTAGGTTGATTGGAATTTTTTCAAACCCATGAAAATTTTGTTCTTCTAACTGAAGACCTTAAGAAAATACTTTATTTAAGCCACAGGACCAACATTTTTGTTGCATTGCTATGATTAGAGCTTGAAATTTCTTCTCATAAGCATTCACAGTTTTTCTTCCCCTTGTTGAATTCCATCCAGATACATGATAAAATTTGTTTACAAAAAAAAATATACATGATAAAGTAAAAAAATAATGAACCATACTCGAACCAGAATCTTAAGAAAAGACTTTATTATAGCCACAAGACCAATATATTTGTTGCATTGCTATGATTAGAGCTTGAAATTCTCTCTCAAAAGCATTCACCGTTTTTCTTCCCCTTCTTGAACTTCATCCAAATACATGATAGAATTTGTTTACAAAAAATTATAATATACATGATAAAGTCAAAAAATAATGAACCATACTCAAACCAGAATATTTTGTTTAGATATAAATTATTAAAAAATCTATATGTATTTCAGCAAATTTAAATTTAAAACCAGAATTTATCAAGACTACCAAATTTGAAGTAACAAAGAAACAACATTACAATTAGCAACATTACAACGAAAGAGAACTATAAATTGTTAGAAACAACAATAAGAAGTTTGGCATGACTAAAAGATTCAATAAATGAAACACAGATTTTTAATTAACATAGTTTACGCTAAACAGAGATTTTTTTGTAGTGTCTAAATGCTCAACTTCATCATCATCTCCTCTTTATTTTTCTTCTGCCTAGCCACGCAATAATCCAGAATGTGTTAGTTGTCTGCTATTTTTATTAGTTTACTGCAAGAAATCAAATTCTAAACTGTAAAATCTACCTTGTATTTTGCTTCAACTTTCTGAAACACATCCAATTCTGCAAATCTACAAACAAAACATAATCAAAATCATTAGTAAAATTGTGTGTTGGGTGGTGTGGTAGAAGAAAATATTTGCTATTTATAAGGAAAGAGTCAAAATTATTAAGTTTGAGACGTTACAAAATAAATTGATCAGACATCGAGAACATCGAGAATCAGTTAAATTTTTATTGTGATTAATAGGATGTATGATTGGGTATATTAATGGGGTAATCTTTGACATGACATTACTAAATCTTTCATTTTTAGTAAATATAATTGCATCAATTTAATTATTAACATTTATAACTGCCTAGTAGGTGTACCATTAAATTTTTAATTGCGTAATAAAGTTAAAAATGTGAATATTTTTAATTGCATAATAAGTTTTTAATTGCGTAATTACGAAAGTGTGAAATATTTCTTTTATATATATGATTTGACTAATTGTATCTGGTTTTAGAGTTTAATTATAAATTTATTTCTTAGAACACAAAATAAAAAAAATTATTTTGTCTTTACCATCTTATACATTTTCTTTCCATATCTACTTTAAAAAAAATATTTTAAATTTTGTCTTTACTATAGTACAACTTATAATATATTTTACAATAATATAAATTCATTATTTTCCTAATATTAAAAATTATATTCAAAAATAATTTTAAAAATACTACCCCGTATATTAAGCGGATTAATTTCTAGTACCAATGTTATTTGTTTAGCATGAGAATCATAAGAAACACACAACCTTTTCTATTTCGCTGAGATCTTTCTAAGAAAAATCTACAAAAAAAAAATTTAAATACACATATATATATATATATATATATATATATAGTCAATCAATCAAAAATTCAATACAACTCAATTTTCTGATAAAAGGTTAATATATTTACCAAATGAAAAATTTCAGTTACGGTGAATCTATAAAGTTTTAAGAAGGCCCTAATCAATACCCGGGCTCAGACAACATTTTTTAATTTACATGCTTATTTTTTAAATCCATTTGATATTACGTAATGGCATAATCAGCCCAACTTATTATATACACTTTAAGGGATGTACACTTACACATTCCACAATGACCTTCACGTTCTCCTGCATGGTTGCCAAATGTCGGCTAGCTAAAATGCATAAATATTTCTTATCCAGGCACGACCAATCAGAAGTATCGGTTACGATTATGTAAAAAATTACTTCTATATAAAAAGAATTCTCCAATCCTAAGAACCTCAACACCAGAACCTCAAAAAAATACTATTAAGAAAGAATAAATTTTCAAAGCAAAGAAAAGCAGCTATTCAGCTAAGGTGTGACGATATGAAGTTCACGACGTTAATACTTATCACATTCGTGACAGTCGCCATGTCGTCTCCTTTTCTGATCAAAGCAACCGCAGTTGGAGATTTCGGAGAAGTGGCACCATCGTGTATTCCGATGGAGCTCTGGTCGTGCTTACCGACAATAAGCATGGGAGGGGAACCAACTAAAAATTGTTGCGACAATCTGAAGGAGCAAAAACCATGTCTATGTGGTTATATTAAAAATCCGGAGTATAGTTTGTTTGTTACTTCTCCAAACGCTCGTAAGATGATAGATGCTTGTAAGATTCATATTCCGAGTTGTTGAAGCTCTCAAGATATTCCTAAGAAAAAAAATTATTATTAATGATAACAAATATCAAAAGTGAAACTTATGTAACAATGAGTTAAATGATGATGATGGTTGGGACCTTGGAGTTTATCATTATATATGGCTTATGTAAACATAAATTGTGTGTTGTGTGGTGTGGTAGAAGAAAATATTTGCTATTTATAAGGAAATAGTCAAAATTATTAAGTTTAAGACGTTACAAAATAGATTGATCAGTCATCAAGAATCATTTAAATTTTTATTATAATTAATGGGGTATATGATGGGGTGTATTGATGGGATATATTGATGGGGTAGTTTTAATATATTAGTTTTGTATAATAAAAAATCATATATATTGAATGTTGATAAAAGTTGATATTATATCAAATTATGGGGTAGTTTTAATATATTAGTTTTGTATAATAAAAAATCATATATATATTGAATGTTGATAAAAGTTGATATAATATCAAATTATTCTTTTTTGCTTTTTAAAAAGCATAGATGTTACATATTTTTGAGCATGAATTGGATGAATTTAATATGGTATAATGTGTAGTTTAAATAAAATAAACTTATTTTTCATTTAAAAAAAATAGAAATGCCAGGTGGCCCAATAGGAAGAAAGTAAAACCCTTCTTTTATAAATGTGATTAACTTGGATTTGTATTTTGATTGATGAATGTTTAAAATCTATGTTGTTCTAGAAGAAATCCCCAAAAAACCTATGCTTGTCATGTATCCATGCATCATGCATGATTATGAACTTATGAAGCACACCCTCAATTGATATGCCGTCGCCTAGATCTACCTAATTCTAATTTCCTGAACCGATTGTTAAACTTAGATGGGATGACAAGTAGTGGATTTGGTGGCAATTAGCAGACTGGCTGAGGATATGTCCTACTTGTCTAGGGCCCATCAATGAAGCATCAGGCCGGTGAGAAATCCAAGAACATCTTGCAACAACACTTCGTATTTTCAGGGGCGTGCTTCGCTTTATGGTAAAAAAACATTTGCCTTTTGGGTCCCAAACATTTATAATTTGAAGGGGTCCCAATTCTGTCAAAAGTTACAAAACTTTAGTTTACCAACTATAGTGGCCAAACAGTAACACCCTTTTGTGTCTAAAGTATTTGTAGGTTCAAATATTAACTAAAAGGAATTATCTTCTTAGCTATATAGTCATTTTTGAATAATATGTAAGATACTAAATCCCTGATATCCTTTAAATTTGGTAACTCATCCGGGATGAGCAAAGAGGACAACGAATACCATAAAATCTGAAGATATCTGCTAGGTCTAGTATCCACCTCAAGAACCAACTTGCACCATTGTGCTAATATGGAGTTTGAGAAATGCAAGAGAGCTGAAAATTGGTTTTGTTACTTTTTTCTGTCTTGAATCTTGATCCATCATCCATGAAGGTTACTACTACTCACTTCACATAAAGAAATGGTTCAGAAGAGCTTGTCACTAAGACCAAAAACTATGATTAACTCTCTCCCTATACAATCTATAAATTACAAATTTACACAATCACTTCAAAATACCACAAAAGCATCAAGAATTACAAAGTCAAGAAACAGAGTGACATCTTCTCTTCTGAAACATAAATCGTCTCTCCGAATTCGTCTTCTCCTCCGTATGCTTAGCATTACTAGCAACACTTTGGCTGCTCCTTAATCTCAACACCATTGCGTTCAACTTGTTAAAACCTCTTGAAAGCTTCCTAAACAGTCCATAACGCGTTCTCCTGCTCGGCTTCACGAATTCTCTCTTCATCGAAACATGGTCCTTCTCGAGATCAGTAAGCCTCATCCTCATCCTCGCCACCTCAAGCCTAAGCTCTCTGTTCTCTCTCCTCACAGACGCGTAGTTGTCTCGCGGAGAGATCGCTCCACTCGCCATACCGCTTCCCGAGCGGTTCGGAAACTGTCCCGGGAACAAGAAGAACTGGCTCTGGCTCGAACCGCCTAGACCGTTACCGCCTCCGCTTGTCATCGTGTTCTTGAGCCGAGTCTGTTCGTAGAACAAGACTTGAACAGCGATTTGGATGGGAAGCCTCTCGTTCTGTGCCGCGTGGCTGCTTGCGTCTTGAGACAGTTTCTGACAGCTGATTGTCTTGCAGAGACGGTAACGCTCTGAGTCTTTCATGTTGGGATGAACCTAACTCAAACAAAAACCAAAAACTCAAATCAAGAATCATAAGCAAGAACGAAAAAAGAGATGCTCTCTCTTAGCTTTTGTGATTTACCTTGAGGAAGATATCAATGGCTCGGTAAAGACCATCGCAGACGACACGAGCATGGTCAGGGAGAAGCTCAGCGAGAGCTACGAACTTAGAAGGAGAGAGGCTCGAGTCGAGAGCCACCTCAGCTAGGTAACTATCCATCAGTTTAGACACTTTGAAGATTGAGCTCTGTTTCGGAGACTCAGGCCCTTCGAAATCGTACATAGCCATCTCGCTCTCGTCAACAACATCGTCTTCGTAGTCACACTCATCAAGATTCAAGAACATGGAGAAGATTCTCTGCACCGAGTCGGTATCGTACATGGCACCACCGACGACGCTCGCCGGAATCAGAATATCTTCAAGAATCGCTTGGTCAAGCTGGTGACTTATCCTTCTCTCAAGATCCGATCTGCAAGAAACAGAGGTCGAAGATCCTATAGCTGTCTTCAACAAGCTTGACAAGAACGAGATCGGTATCGAGCTTTTGTTCGCCTGCGTAGGGAGAAGCGCCACGATCGCTTCGAGGATGATTCGTTGCTTCTTCTGAAGATCCGAATCAAGAATCGCATTTCCTTTGACGAGACTCGGTTCTCTGATGATCTGCAGTGACTTCCGAGCGTAGCTCATAAGGATCTCGCTGATGATCTCATGATCAAGCCCTTTGGATTTCATGGCGGAGACGACTCTCTGGAAGAAATCGAGCTTGAGGATAGGCAGAGACCTTCCCCACCAATCAGAGGGTTTCTCCATCTCTGTCGCTACTAATCTCCCCGTGACGCAGCCGAATTTCTGATCAAGCTTGAGGAGACCAGACACGAGCTGTTCTTTGCAAGCGTTTACAGCGATCGCGTTCACGAGCCTCCCAACGAGGTTAATCTCTTCAGCTACAGGTAATAGCTTCTCGATGGAGTGAAGAACGGTTATGGAGTGAGAGATGTCGTTAAAAATCGAGTCTTTAAGGTAAGCCTCTGTTCTCGCCTCGAGATTCTTCTCCGACAATTCCTCTGTCATCTCCAGGTAATGAGCCACGCATCTCAACGCTGCGATGTTCGAAGAGGTGAATTGGAGGACGATGCCGTAGCAGAATTTCGCGGCGAGCTCAAACGCCTCTGAGCCGCCGGGAACTGCGGTTAGGTTCAGGTGATAAGCGTTCTTTGTTTCTTTTGAATCCATAAGAAGCTTCCTAATTCTTCCACTCCGAGAGACGAGAGGAAACTGAAAAAACAGAGTCAATAAATGTCTTCTCATTCACGAGTTTAGTTTGAATTTTAGGTTACCTTGTGAAGAGAAAAGGTTGCAGAGCCGACTTCTATGGTTAAGTCACTCGTAACATCCGAGACCGGCCTGGAAACACACAGACACAGAGCTTAGGGTAATTTTGTGCAAAATACTTGTTGAAAAGTTGTCATCTTTGGAGGACCCATAAGCCAAAAATGTTGAATCTTTGTAGGTTTTTCTTGTTTGTTTCTGAGAGAAAGTGAAAAAGAAAGTGAGAGATGAGTATAGTACCATTGAGGAGTGTGTCTGATGCTGGAGCTTGGACGAAATACTCTTTTCCCAGAAATAAGTTGCTTCGACTCAGGAATACTAACAACACCCATTAGAAGATCTCTTCTTCCGAAAAAGATCCAAGCTTTTTTATTTGTGGGTTTGCTGTTTCTAATCAGACAATTTAGCAATCCGATGTTATGGCAAAGACCTGCAAAATATGCTTTTGTGTTTCTACCAAAAATGTTCCTTCTGTCGGCTGCAGAAATGCTCTTCTGTGTCTCTCTTTCTCTCTGTCTGCCTTGACAATATGAAAGATTGTGCGATGGAGTGAGTACATAATTCACAAGAATTCATGTAAGAATTAAAGCACAATCATCACCTTTTTTCTCTTAATAAAAACTTTATCTTCCGGGAATTAAGACACTAATCCCGCTTACTTTAGGTAGTCTGAGACTATGAGTGTTGAGTATCATTTCACCAGAAATTTTATGGTATAAATATTTTATTTTATTTTGTCACACATGTGGTTTATATTTAATGTATTTAAAATGTATCAATGATTATTTATTTTATTTATACCTGATCATATTAATAGTAGAATAATAGAATATATGTAAGAATAATGCGGAATAACAGAATAACGAAAAATTTTTTGCTGAGGAAACTGTTTAATAATTACGAAGTGCTAAGAAGTTTAAGATTTAGACTCAGAATTTTCTATTTTTCTAACTATACTTTAGATGCATGAAATATTTATACCAGATTCATTATTAAAAGGTAAAAATATTTAACGTTAAGAATAATAAAAAACGAGATTACATTTTTAATACGTGAATAAATTACATTACTGCGTCACTGTATTCACTTTTCCACATTTTGTTTTGTAATTGAAAAGCAAATATAGGTGTTTAGAGTAAAAAGTCAATTAAGTGTGCTGTTTATTACTTATGCTTTTCGGTGAAAAGTTTGAAAGGTTTCTTATCTTGTCTTTTCTTTACACGGGTTATTCAGAAAAAAAAAACAAGAAATTGCAGGAAGTGTGGATGGGTGAATTGCTTTCGGGGATTATAATCAACCCTCTATGTTTATTTTTTTCGGTCACCCAAAAGAAAATTAAAAAATAGATTACAAGAAACAAAAGAGATAAATATATCAAAAGTATAATAGTAGACAAGATATATTAATCAACGTAATAATACAATTTCTCTCTTGCCAAATAAAATCCGGATGTTGAAGTTAATTTGCTTTCATCTTCTTCCTTAAGCATATGTAACACCCTAAGATGAAGAGAGCGTTTTCACATGAAAAGAGGTGATGTTCCCCTTGGTTAATCATATACAGTATTTTGTATACTTACTAGTTTACTAGATCAGGGTTCTCATCTCAGACACCCACTGTGCTTCGTTTCTTTATTAAAACACACACAGTTGGTTTTGAAAAAAAAAAAACACTCACAAGAGAGAGACAGAGAGAGGAAAGTGAGGAGGCAAATAAGAGCAAATAATGGAGTAGCTTAAATTGTTTAATAATCAGAAATGCTAAAAAGTGAAGTTCTTTTTAGACAATTTTCGATCTTCCTGACTACATTTTAAAATCATGACTTAATCGTACTAGAGTCATTATTAATAACGTAAAAATACAATTCAATAAATTTTATGAACGGTAAAGAAATAGAATTACTTTCTTAAAACATGAGTAAATGGTACTCCGTCAATATATGAATATATAATTACATAAATGCAAGTTATGACAATCTTTTTTTTCACTTTTATACTTTTGGTTTTGTAATTAAAAAGCAATATTTAAGTGATTAGAGTAAAAAGTCAATTAAGTGTGCTGTTTATTACTTATGCTTTTCGGTGAAAAGTTGGAAAGGCTGCTTCCTATGAGCTTGTTAATTTACAAGGGTTATTAGTTATTACAAAGAAACAAAAGAAAAAAAAAAACAAAAGAAAACAATAAAATGCAGGAAGTGTGAATGGTTGCATTGCTTTTGGGGGTTACAATCATACCTCTGTGATTTTTTTTTCAACCCAGCAAAAGGAAATTGAATGAAGTAGCTTATGCAAGAAAACGAAAGAAAATTGATACAAAAAGGTTAGTAGTAGGTTAAACTAAAGTTAACGAAAAGAAGGTTCGGTTCCCCTAGCCTTCTCAAAAAGTATATTGTAATACATGGTTCGTTAAAATATTATCTCAATCAAAGGAAGTTAAATTTTGGTATGTGTGTTTTCTTAGTGTTAATTTTCCACAGGATATCTTAATCAACGTAATAATTACAACTTCAGTCTTTACAAAAAAAAAAAAACTCAGATTATCAACCTCTTGAATATGATAACTATATTTTTCGTTCATCTCAAACACTCAACTTAACAACCTAGCATGAGGAGAACGTTTTCACATAGTTTGATTAAAGAAGTGATGTTCTTCTAGGTTAATCATCCAACATTTTGTTTACTTACTAGTCCATTCTGCTTCAATTCTTTACCACCTATACAATAAAAAAATCATCCCGCAAACTAGAGTAATTTAGGACCAATGAAATTTGGTGCTTTTTTGTTGCTAAAAAAAATTCTATTGAAAATGCAAGATAACTAACGCAAGACTACGGCCTTTTGAATCATATTACTTGGTAGAGTAGCTTAGAGATATGAGAGATCAAGCATACACTTGGCCTAATTGTGGATTATTATTTTTTTAGTCTATACACTCACAATTGATAAAAAGAAGAAGAGAGAGAGTGAGAGAGGAAAGTGGGGAGGCAAATAAGAGCAAATGATGGCGAAGCATATTAAATTGGGAATCATGGTTTCTTTATAAGGTAGGGTATTACTCTAAGATTACTTCCTTCCTTCTCCCCCTCATTTTAAATTGAAACATAATTAATTTATTTCCATCATTTATTTCGTCTCTTTTTATACCACTTTTCCAATGCTATGATAGATTCTAGGATTATTGTGCTTCCCTAATTGATTAAATCTACAGAATATCAGACTGGTATCACTGAATCAACGGGTATTATTGTGATTCACTAACCGCATGTTCCCTCTTAACGCCATTGCATCATCTACTACTTATCCTAGGCATTATATATTATGTTTTTTTTTGGTAAAGACATTATATTATTTTACGTGTACACAAATATGTCTTTACTCATTTAAAAGTCTTACTAATCAACAAAGAGACCTTTGAGATTTTGAGTCATTGTTCTCACAACAGGAGGTCGTTTGCTTGCTCCATCTTTGCTTGCACGACAATTAAACAAGCAAAGATGTCCTCAAAGCTCAGTTGTAGAGCGCCAGTATTGTAAATGAAAGTCTGTAGTTCGAATCATGCGTAAGGCCAGATTTTTATCTATATGTATTTCCACAAATTAAACAGCATACATATGGATGGAAACATATCGAATATTCTAATTTCTAAGATACTCGGATATGTAGATTTTAGATATTGTGAACCCGGACATGATCGTAAAAATTAACGATTGTTGTTTTTTTTTGTGTGTGAATGATCACATACATGATCCTTAAGTAGAACTTTGTCCACCCACTTCTTATCCAAACAAAGGCGTCGTCATTTTCTAAGTGCACCGTGTTTTTTTTTTTTTTTGTCAGTTTTAATCATATTTTTTTTCTACATATTTTAGGAAGGGTAAAAGGAACAAAATTAAGTGGACAGCAATTACGTACCATGCATGCATGGAGACACTTGGCTAGTCTTAAGGATCACAAAAAAAATCCTTTAAAGCTCTTCATAAGAAAAAGTCTTGAAGAATCCAATGATGCAAATAATTGATCATGATACTTCTCATATGCTCAATAATTGTCATTACCATTCTCTTCTTCAAAAAACAGACAAGAGGGAAGAAGAGCAGCACACTGACGTCACCACCGAGACTTCCGTTAATCGGAAACCTTCATCAGCTTGGCCGCTACCCTCACCGATCACTATGCTCTCTCAGCCATCGATACGGTCCTCTCATGCTCCTTCACTTTGGCCAGGTCCCTGTTCTTGTAGTCTCTTCGGCTGATGCGGCTCGAGACGTTTTGAAGACGCACGACCGCATTTTTGCGAGCCGTCCACGGTCTAAAATCACGGAGCAGCTTCTTTACGACGGGCGTGATGTGGCCTCAGCTCCTTATGGTGAGTATTGGAGACAAATGAAGAGCGTGTGTGTCCTCCATCTCCTAAGCAACAAAATGGTCAGGTCTTTTCGTGACGTTAGAGAGGAAGAGATCATTCTAATGATGGAAAAGATCAAGAAATCGGGTTCTTCACGGATAAATCTAAGCAATCTCTTGTCGAGTTTAACTAACGATGTTATAAGTAGAGTTGCTTTGGGAAAGAAATACAGCGGTGAAACAGATTTTAAGGAGTTAATGGAGAGGTTAGGGAGGCTATTAGGCACGTTTAGTGTCGGGACTTATGTCCCGTGGCTTGCATGGATTGATTGGATCCGTGGTTTAGATGGTCAGCTACAAAAGACGGGAAATGATTTTGATGAGTTCTTGGAGAGAGTCGTGCAAGATCATGTAGATGAGGACGGAGATAGAAATGATTTCGTGGATGTATTGCTCGCCGTCCAGAGAGATAAGAGTGTCGGCTTTGAAATCGACAGGCTCAGCATAAAAGCAATAGTTTTGGTAAAGGAAATATACTCACTTTTAGATGATACGAATTCAGATATTTTAGTATATAACCAGGGCCGTCTTTATACAAATTGTAGGCTCTGTTCAACTTTTTTATAAAATATATATTTAATATGATTGAAATATATATATATACATATATATATATATTATAACCATAGTTATTGTTTTGGTTTTCAGGATGTTTTTGTGGGTGGTACGGACACATCGTACACACTTATGGAATGGACAATGACAGAGCTTCTACGTCACCCTGAGTGTCTGAACAGACTTCAAGAAGAAGTTCGTACAATTTGTAAGGGAAGATCGAGTGTGTCGGAAGAAGACATTCAAGATATGAAGTACTTAAAAGCTGTGATCAAAGAGACACTGAGGCTACATCCTCCACTTCCATTGATGGCTACTCACGAATCAACACATGATGTCAAGTTAAGAGATTATCACATACCTGCCGGTACACAGGTTCTGATCAATGCTTGGGCGATTGGGAGAGAGGTTGCCACGTGGGGACCAGACGCCGAGGAGTTTAGACCGGAGAGGCATTTAAACTCGTCAGTTGATTTCCGGGGTCAGAATTTTGAGCTGATTCCATTTGGAGCAGGGAGAAGGATTTGTCCAGCAATATCATTCGCTATGGTGTTGAATGAGATGGTTTTGGCTACCTTAGTGCACCGGTTTGATTGGAGGTTCCCGGTTGAATGTACAGAAGATCAGACCGGTGTTGCTGAATCAACGGGTCTTGCAATTCACCGCATGTTCCCTCTTTACGCCATTGCATCATCTACCACCTGACTTGGTCACTATATATATGAATGTTTTATTATGTCATGGTGTATATATATAGATATGAATGTTTTATTATGTTATGGTGTACGCAAACATGTTACTCATTTGAAACCCTTACGAGCAAAGAGAGTCTTTGAGGTTTACGTTCTTGAGTAACTAAGCTAATTTTAGATTCATTGTTCTATGAAACGTATATATCATCAGTCCGCTCTCAATTGAGCTACACGGCTAGTCAAAGGAAACATAACGGACTAAAATTTCGCTTTGATGCTAACATAACTATCACTAAACCCCAACAAACAAGGACTTTTAGACACCAAAATATAATATTTATTTGGTGACATCATTTGACAATATGCTTTAATGTAGTGATAAAAAAAAAAATTCTGTTGTCAGTGTGCCAAGTTCAAACCTTAGTTTTGCTATTGGTCGGTTTGCTATAATCTAGGAGTGGCCCTCTTTTCAGCAATAGGGGAATCAGTAAATATATGGGAAGCAAAACTGCTTTCAATATTCTTGATATATTTTTGAAATGTACAAACAAGGGATATATCTTTTAGAAGATAGTTTTTGTGGACCTTGTGGCAATAAAAAAAAATCTAACAAATAAGGTATTTAATCATTATAAAAAAAGATTTGTTTTTTAACGAAAGGAAAAGATTTTCTGTTTTGTTTGGTCAAAGAAATTTTCTCTACTTTATCTCTAAATAGGAAAAAAATTTACGTGTCAATTTAATTGTTATGTGCGTGAGTGTCATACTATATAAAGAGATTTCTTTAACTTTTATACGTAGTAATTTTGTCAAATTTTATTTTCCAATTTATGAAAAAAAAGAATAAAATTTGAGTGGACACTAGTAAACGTAACGTATAGAAACTTGGCTTATATACATTACCCCAAGTCCAACAAGAAGAACACAACACTCACGAGAAAAACTTGAAGAATCCAAAATTTACAAAAATATGAACATGATACTTCTCTTATGCATCATATTTTCCATTACCATTCTCTTCTTGAAAAAACTGACGACAGGGAAGAAAAGTAATACATTGGCATCACCACCGAGACTTCCGTTGATCGGAAACCTTCATCAGCTCGGCCAACATCCTCACCGATCACTACGCACCCTGAGCCACCGTTACGGACCTCTCATGCTCCTTCACTTTGGCACTGTCCCCGTTCTTGTAGCCTCTTCCGCTGACGCTGCTCGAGACATTTTGAAGACCCATGACCGCGTCTTCGCGAGCCGACCACGTTACAGAATCTACGAAAAGCTTCTCTACGGGAGCCGCAATATGGCCTCAGCTCCTTATGGAGAGTATTGGAGGCAAATGAAGAGTGTGAGTGTCATACATCTCCTAAGCAACAAAATGGTACGTTCTTTTCGAGAAGTGAGACAAGAAGAGATAAGTCTGCTGATGGAAAAAATCAAGAAACTGAGTTCTTCTTCGCCGATGAATCTAAGCAAGCTCATGACGACTTTAACTAACGATGTTATATGTAGAGTTGCTTTGGGAAGAAAATACGGTGCTGGAACAGATTTTAAAGAGTTAATAGACCGGCTCATGAGGCAATTGGGTACGTTTAGTCTCGGGAGTTATGTACCGTGGCTTGCATGGACTGATTGGATCCGTGGTCTAGATAGTCAACTTGAAAAGACGGCAAAAGATTTTGATGAGCTCTTGGAGAAGATTGTGCAGGATCATGAAGATGGAGATGGCGATAAAGCTGATTTCGCCGATGTATTACTCGCCGTTCAGAAAGAGAAGAGCGTTGGGTTTGAGATCAACCGGTTAAGCATAAAGGCAATCATCTTGGTAAAGCAGAAGAAACAAAAAGCAAATTTAGTTCCAATAATGTTTTAGGATATAACCATAGTTCTTGTTTTGGTTTTTGCACTTTTTCAGGATGCTTTTGTGGGTGGTACAGACACATCTTCAACGCTTTTGGAATGGGAAATGACAGAGCTTCTTCGTCACCCAAAGTGTCTGAAAAGACTTCAAGAAGAAGTCCGTACAGTTTGTAAGGGGAGATCAAGTGTATCAGAGGACGACATTCAAGAAATGAACTACTTAAGAGCTGTGATCAAAGAGACACTCAGGCTACATCCTCCAGTTCCATTGATGGTTCCTCACGAATCAACAGAAGATGTGAAACTAAGAGAACACCACATACCAGCCGGTACACAGGTTATGATCAATCTTTGGGCGATCGGGAGAGAGGTAGCCACGTGGGGACCGGACGCCGAGGAGTTTAGACCGGAGAGGCATTTAGATTCTTCTTCCTCTGCTGCTGATTTCCGTGGTCAGGATTTTGAGCTGATTCCGTTTGGTTCAGGGAGAAGGATGTGCCCTGGAATATCATTTGCTGTGGTGTTGAATGAGGTGGTTTTGGCTAACTTAATGCATCGGTTTGACTGGCAATCTACAGAAGATCATCAAACCGATGTTGCTGAATCAATCGGTAGTGTGATTCGCCGCAAGTTCCCTCTTTACGTGACTGCCTCACCTACTACTACTTAGACCAATACATAACTGCTTACTAGCTATTATATTATGTTATGTCTTTGATAAACATGTTTTAGACATTTGAAAAGTTATTACTAGCCAAGAAGAGATGTTTGAGTTTTAAGGTCTCGTGAAGCTTATTAGCTTACTTGATTCATTGGTATGTACAACGAGTGTCATCATCATCAATCAGTCCCCTCTCAGTTGAGCTTCACGGCTAGTCAAAGGAACATAACGAACCGAAGTTTCGCTCTTGATGCTAACCGAACCATCTGAGTTCTTATCAACCACTTTCAGGTCTTGGAATATGTTCCCAACCGGGATCACAAGTCTCCCACCAGGTTTCAATTGCTCAATCAATGCCTCTGGGATCTCTGGTGCTGCTGCTCCCACATGAATAGCATCGTACGGTGCAAACTCAGCCCATCCTTGCCTTCCATCTATTTCAAAACCAAAACAAACAACTCATTGAAACCAGCAATGGAACATCAAAACGAAATCTCAAAAAAAATTTTACTATTGAAATCTCACCACCAACGTGAACAGCGAGAGATCCTTCTTTCAGCAATGTCGAAGCAGCACCACTACCTTCAATGTTCTTGATGGAAGAAGCCACCAGCTCAGGGATGTGTTCTACACCAATAGCACGCCCTTCGGATCCAACCATGACCGCAAAGCAAGCTGTTAAGTATCCGGTTCCTATCAAGATTTGAACATATGCTTCTTATTCATCAAACCATCATCATCAAAAAACGGCAAGAAGATTCTTTTCGAGAAGAGGAAAAACAAACCCGAGCCGACATCAAGAACACGCATCCCTGGTTTCAAATTCTTTTCGAGAAGCTCAAGGCACATTGCGTGCATATGAGGTGCTGATATGGTCACGTTATACCCAATAGACATGGGACCGTCAACGTAAGGAGAGGAACCGTCTGGTACAAACATGCCTCTGTCCACAGCCTCCATAGCTTCAGCAACTTTATCAGACGTAATTACGCCGTGATTTTGCAAGTTCTCCACCATAGCTTTGTTCGTGTTGATACTGTTTGTCCAGAATTGCTACAACATCGCCACCAAAAACAGAATCTCATCAGGACAGAAACAATACAAACTAGCAACGACTAAGATTATACACTACAGGTCATGACCATCGGAGTATTAATCTGGAGGAGATCAATATTTTGTGTCTACATCTATGTCTCTGAGATAAGTTCGATCATCCATTATTGACAGACAAAAGCAGCGACTTTTAACCAGATATGAAAATGAAATGCTAAAATAGAGACTTTACTGATCTCAAAATCGAAACTTTCAGAGTGAAAATAAAATCAAAGTATTCAATCGATCGGGAGTGGAAATCACAATTACATCTCTTAATTCGAATCAAAACGATTATTCAGCAGAGAGAAAGACTAAAAGATTACCCTCATCTCCTGTAATAGAAAGCTTCCCGGGATAAGAGAGAAATGAAGCAGAGAGAGAGAGAGAGCAGTGTGTGAGAGAGAGATGATCGGAGACTTCAGGCGTTAGAAGAAGAACGGGGAAAAAGATAGCTCATAATAGCGGAAACTGCACGCAACGAGGGTAAAAGGAATATTATCGTGCGCCTATTCTATTTGCAACGTATCCTGTTATTTTCTGTCATGTTTTAGTATTACCCCATAGTTTTCCTTATTACAATTTCACCCAAAACATTATCTTCTGTATTTTACAAATTTTAACGCAAGGAAAATAAATTGCCAAAGATGCCCATATAGCTCAGTGGTAGAGCCGAGAGCGTCAGTCTCGTAAAATGAAGTTCTCGTGATCTCGTCACTGCGGTGAAACCCGCAAAACGACGTCGTAACATTGTAACGTAAATGCAAAAGACGTCGTTTTGGAGATTCGGGCTCCAACGTAAAAGGCCCAAAAAAACCCCTCTGGATCTGATGACGGAGGAGAAGTACGAACGACCATCGTCGGCTTCGTTCCTCACTCTCAACATTTTCTAGGGTTTTAATCAACAATGGCGAATCTTATGCACAGGTTTCTCAGGAACCAATCATGTCTAAGATCAATCCCGAGACTCACTCACAATCTTATACCACATCAGAAGCCTTGCATCAGCAACGTCGAGTCTGTTTCTGTAGAATTCGATCCAGTTCCTATTACTAACCCCGTGATTACCGTCGCCGATAAATCTCTTCACTTTTACCCGAGTTTCCCAATCGGGTACGGTTTTAACCCGACTCTGATTCCTGATTTGGGTCTAATTGAAACGGTGTCGTCGTTGGCGGATGCGGTGATGGAGGAGAAGGATGAGAAGGAGGCGGTGATTTATGCAGACAGTGTGAAGAAGAAGAGGAAGAAGAAGATGAACAAGCACAAGTACAGGAAACTCAGGAAGCGTATGGGGAGAAAATCGTAGAAGCTTTGCTTGCTAATATTCCGGTGAGAAATTTGAAAACCTTTTTTGTCTTCTAAATATTGGGCTTCATGTCCGAATCATATTTCTTTGAATTAGATCGATAATGTTACAATGTATTGAGGAATCGACAGATTGTTTTTCTCGTTACAGTCAGTGTTAATCGTTTGTTTCTGCCAAGAATTTCATGGATTTCTCACACAGTTGCGCAGTGTTAGCTCTGTGTTATAAAATTCAACAATTTGAATCTTGCGTTTTGTAGTGTTGAATTAATTCCAAGAAACAAAATTACTGTGATAAGATGATGAGTTTGCTTATAAATCTGAATCGTCCCATTCTCTGAGGTCTTTACCTAATTAGAAAAGCTGAGATTTTTCATTTTGATAGGCTTGAGATTTGTGATCGTATGGACTTTACTTAGTTGCTTTGATCCGTTAGTTCCTCCTAAGTAACTTGGATCCTGGAAACCCACTATAGTGTCATATAGTTTGAATCTAAAGCCAAGTGTATTACTTTAGATTTACTCCTTTGAGCTTTCACACAGAGACCTAGGCTTAAGTCTGATTGTTTACAAGTAACTCGGTGAGGTTGGGATGATATCATCAGAACTATTTTTTTTTGTTGCTGAAAATACTGTCTTGATATAGATTGATTTCCTGCTTAGTTTCTTTGGCCAGAAGAAATAATGATTAGCCATTCATCAAGTTTCTTAATAATGGGGGAATTCAAGAACATAGTAATTAGTAGTTAAATATAGATTCTTCAACGGTCTTGCTTTGGCATTTGGCCATCTGGAGTTGCTTGCTTCAACTATTGAGGTTACTTGTTCTACAGCTATTGAGTGGTTACTAATCTGAGGGTCTAGTCGACCCAAATTATTATCCTTTTTTGTGGTCAAGAACCAACCAGTACTTAAGTCCTGTTTACTGAGACTTAAGATTCTTCTGCTTTAGCTCAATAAAATTTTGTTTGTTTAGTTTTGATTATGTTTTGGCTTCTACTTGTGGAAGGAGAGGTTTGTGAATGACAGGTGTATATGGTTACGTTTAAGATTGAAAGTTTGTTTTTTTTTTCGAGAAATCGTAAACGGAAAGCAACCGAAATATCTTTGGTTTGTTTTGGCAAATTTCGGGTTTGATTTACTGTTTAGATGCAGTTTGGTTTTGAGTTTAGAACAAAAACTAGAAATAAACAATACTTCTATTAATTGAATATAAAGTGAAGACGGGGAAAAGAAAAAAAATAAACTGAACTAAAACCGATCAGACTCATCTCATAAATTGATTTGAAGCTTTCAAAAGATTTGGAATCTTAATGTTTTGTAAAGAAGTAAATTGGATAAGGTTTGAGGATACTTAAGGCAAGCTAGCTGTTTGGATCGGTTTACGATTCCTTTACATTTTGACAAGAAACACGTTAGTACGTTACTATAAATTTAAATTATTAGGGTTTGGAGAGCATACAATAATTTTATAGCCAATTCACGAATAGTCATTTGCACGATACTAGGAAACATCTAACCATGTCATTGCATTTTCGAGATCTTATGAAACTTGTACCAAAAGAAAGTTGAAGTATGTACATTATTTACATACATTTGCAAAACCAAATCCAAAATTCAATCGGTATTTGTTGAAAATGAAAATTAGACAATTTCACGTATTTTGGATCTTCAAATAGGAGTATTTGTTTTGATGAGAAAACATATTTGTTTCATAATTTAGACCAAGAAAATATTTGTTTCGCAAAGGATAGCATTTTTAATTACTCCATAGTAATCTAGTACCACAAAACTAAGATCGTAAAACGGTGACTTAATGGCTTATTCCCGACCATTAAAGTGTTAGTGAAAAAAACTTGAAAAATCGTTGAGAATTCGAGTATTTAGTTACTACTTGGTCAATGTAAACGATTTACTTAACATATATGGAAATTTTATTGATCTTATGAACTAGTCTAGATTATGGTATGAAATATCATGGTTATTGAGAAGAAGGAGAGGACAGCAGTACAAAAAAAAATTATTAATGTATATATATATGTATATATATATATATATATACTTCTTAAAAACCCACAATATTTTCTTATAGTAATCATTTATCAATGGAATTTAGAGGAAAACAATTGGTGAGCCATTTAGTCACACAAACAAAAGGTCTTCTTATGTTTTAGAAATTTGAATCTCTTTCTTCTTTTGTTATGTGAGTGTCAAAAGTTGAATCTTCTTGTACTTCTGAATATTTATCAATTAGCCTAGGATATGAGTGGCCAAGCAAAGGATGACGAGATCAAATTCAATGATTCAATAATAAACAAAGGATTAAATATATGTTTCCTACATTCCTCACATTAGGAAGCATCCACGTTCCAACCACGATGCGGGTATTATTAAGCCAAGAATCAAAGATGATTAAAATTACTCGTTCATATCCACTACATCAAACGATTTAACTTTAAAAATCTTCTTAACCCACGATGGGTTTAGAATTGTTTATTTTGATTTAATCTCAAACTTGATCTAATCTAAATCAATAATCTTTTGGCTAACAACTTCAGAAGAAACTCCATGACTTTTTTGTTGTTGTAATAAATTAAACTGAATAAGCTCTTTGTTCATTTTTTTTGTCTGACCAATATTGTTTTCTATTATATACGGATAAAAATAAAATATCTATACTATTAAAAGAGAAGGATGTTTTGTATCCAAACACAATTTTTACTTGGTTTTCTACTATTCTATTTTTGAATAACTGTTATTTTTATTGCTAAACAAAAATATTAATTTTAATTTAGATTTACTAAATAAGTTAATTTAGTGTAAAATAAATAAAATAATTATTTTTATTTCTGTTTTAATATAAATCCGAAAATTTAGTTTTTAATTTAGATTTCTTATAGATTTCCTTAAATATAAATTATATTATCAAAAATTATAAATTATTATATCTTTACAAAAATAATAACCCAGATATTAATTTAGATTTAATTTAAATATTCAAAATTAAATAATATTTTTAATGATAGAGATGAAATAATATATTATATATTTTTATTAAATAAATATAAAATTTAAATATTTAAACTTAATAATATTTAAAATATACAAATAAAATAAACAGACATGTTAAATGTTTTAATAATTTCGGTTTTTTGAATTAATATAAATGAACATGTTATAATGACGTTTTTAAATTATAATACTTTTTACATTAATATGAACTGGCGGGTTAGAATAATTTTTTCTAATTACAGTCATATATAATATTAAAAAAAATAATCAATAGAAACAAATTATAAAATAAAAATTCTATATTAGTTATTAAAAATTATATATAAAGAAAACAGAAAACAGAAAACAAAAATTATATTAAACAAATAAAAAATAGTTCCTGTGCGAACGCATGGGGTAGAATCTAGTTTAGACTCTTAAATTGACAACCTAGTAAACAAAAGTTTTTTAATGAATCCAGTAAACAAATATTTTTCGATGAATCTAGCAGACAAAAACGTGATTTCGTTTATTCTCATTTAATTTTTTTTAATAACAAATTAAATGGCCTTTGAAACTACCCTGTTTGAATCATCATAATAATATATGTCGTTTTTGGTATAAAAAATCAGTTGAAGTTCGAACGAATTAATTTTGATTTGGATCACCCAGAGTTATTCCCAAAAAAAAATGTATAGAGATGATAAACAAATATCGCACGACTGAGGTTGGCCAAAATGTAATCTAAAACTCCCAATCCAGATCATCCAAAGTTATTCAGAAAGAGAAAAGTATGGGAATGCTAAACATATCGCCACGAGGTCCTCCCTGGAAGAACACATGACCTTCCCACGATCCATGGAAAAAACATTTCTTATAATACTTGTACATTAATCATTAAGTAGTCTTGGATACATAAATATACATGGATTTATAATTTCGTATGCTTGTAATCAGATTGATGTTTGAATTTTCCTATTAATTTTTATGTAACAAATGAAAACTTTCTTGTATTTTTCATGACCGTTTTTCGTCTACACGTGACCATACGATTTTTATAAAAACTAGAAGAGTGATCATGTTGTTCTCAATCAAACACGATCGAAAATATATATTTTTCAGTTCTAAATCCTTTACAAAAAAAGTTTTTAACAAGTCTACAATGCCATGGTGTGAACATCTTTTGTTCCACATTTTTTCCAAATCCCAACGGCCATATATATATATATCTTAATCTAACTATTGCTTTCATTATTTGCCTAAGCAACTTGTTGCTTTACCTTAATTTTTCCATCATTGTATAATCATATCCATTATTTATTTTTCACATTTAATAAATTCGCATTAAGATGTTCCAATTAGGTTCCAAATATCACGATGAAATGTTTTTAAGGACTCATTCAGTTTTCTTCACCGTACGTAAGCTAAATTAATCATATTAAACGTTCATATAATATATATATATATATATATATATATATTTACATAAGTATGAAATTTATAAAACCATATATTATAATTCATTATTTAAACTATTGAAAAAGAGAAAATAAATTACACCTATGAATATGATGGGTTCCTTGCTCGTCTAAGATGCGTGTCTGAGTATCATAAAAGTGTTCTACAAGTCTGACCAAGACGTATACACAATAATTAATTCATCTTACAAACGGCGATGGTAGTTTAGTCATTTCGAATATCTCAAGAACAAAATTTCTCTGTGCCTATAAATCTCCAACACCATTTCATTAAACTCTCAACTTCAAACTCAAAAAAAAAAAATAAAAAAAAAATGAAGAAACTTCTCTTGATCTTTCTCTCCTCTTTTCTCATTCTCCAAACCGTTCGAGGATTCGATTACCATGACAAGGAACTAGAAAGCGAAGAGAGCTTATCAAAGCTCTACGAAAGATGGAGGAGCCACCACTCTGTTCCTAGGAGCCTCCATGAAAGGGAGAAGAGATTCAACGTTTTCAGACACAATGTGATGCATGTTCACAAAACCAACAAGAAGAACAAACCCTACAAGCTTAAGCTCAACAAGTTTGCAGACTTAACGGTTCATGAGTTCAAGAATGCCTACACCGGTTCTAATATTAAGCATCACAGAATGTTGCAAGGACTGAAACGTGGCTCGAAGCGGTTCATGTATGAGAATTCAACCCGAGTTCCGTCCTCGGTTGACTGGAGAGAAAAAGGTGCTGTCACTGAAGTCAAGAATCAAGGGCAGTGTGGTAAGTATAAAGCAAGGTTCATTAGTGAGAAATGCAAGTTAAATTCATTGCACATGATTCAAAATATTTAGGGCTTAGTTATTATTTCTATATATTTACAAGAATTTTGCAGAAAGTAACATATCTTAAAAGTTTAATAGATCAGTTTGTTTCAAAACATGGCGTTGTGTTCGTATATTGAGATGTGAATATATAAACATACTTACTAATAACACACACACACGCATATATATTACACAAGGTTATTGCTAGAAGGACTTATAAGAATACTAATTATTAATAAGCGCATGTCTAAGAAATCCATGGTAGATAAATATTCCCTATATAATTGATAATCTTGAGGTTGAAACTTGGTAAATTAATTGATGATATAAAAAATGTTTCAACAGTACTTAAATTTAATTTTAATGTAATGATGATCTCTTTGTTGATTTAATAATATTAAATATCTGAAACAATACCAGGAAGTTGCTGGGCATTCTCTACAGTTGCAGCGGTTGAGGGAATCAACAAGATCAAAACGAACAAGCTAGTCTCACTGTCTGAACAAGAACTAGTAGATTGTGATACTTACCAGAACGAAGGTTGTAACGGAGGTCTCATGGAGATTGCATTTGAATTTATCAAGAAAAACGGTGGAATTACAACCGAGGATAATTATCCTTACGAAGGTATTGATGGAAAATGCGACGCTTCAAAGGACAATGGCGAGGTTGTGACGATCGATGGGCACGAGAATGTACCTGAAAACGACGAAGATGCTCTTCTTAAGGCTGTTGCAAACCAACCTGTATCTGTTGCAATTGATGCTGGAAGTTCAAATTTCCAGTTTTATTCAGAGGTAATAATAAAAAAATAAACTCTAGTTTTTGATTCAAGAAAATTCGTTTTCTGAACATAATATAGCTACTATGCTTTTACATTTGAACTATGCTATTAAAATATTTAACTCAAAACATTATGGCATGCATATATATAGCAATTGGTCATATATTTTGTAATGTGTTTGTAGGGAGTGTTTACGGGATATTGTGGAACAGAGCTGAACCATGGTGTGGCAGTGGTTGGCTACGGATCTGACTCAAAGGGAAGAAAGTATTGGATAGTGAGAAACTCATGGGGTCCTGAATGGGGAGAGGGAGGCTACATAAAGCTCGAGAGAGGAATTGATGATTCGGAAGGACGCTGTGGTATTGCAATGGAGGCATCTTATCCAGTTAAGCTCTCGTCTTCTAATCCATATGCACCGGAAGATGATGACGTTAAAGATGAGCTCTAAGTATGTGTAGGCATTGTGTAAAACCATATCAGTGGTGATCCCAATTCATTATCAATTCATGATTGTTAGATTTGTCTTCATGATTTGGTTCTGATGTTGGTTTTGAATTTCAATAAATATGGCTTTCTTTTTTTCTCAATGTTTGCATATTAATGGATTACACAAGAAAGAAAAAATATGAACTAGAAACAGAAAGTGAAAGAAACGTTTTTTTAAGAAGAATTTTGATTTGTTAATAAAGAAACTTTTTAATGTGATACAAAAAGGATAGGATAGGTTAAAACTTAAAAGAGCTAAAATTTTGGAATAATTAATTAGTTTAAATAAACATATTAAGTTGCGGAAAATCAAATTAGAGTAAGGAAAGTACGTGCCACCAGAATTATAATTTAGATAAGGAAAAATTTATCTAAATCAAACAACAGAACTTTGAAAGTTAATCAAGTTGTTATGAAGACATCAAAATAAGGATCCAAAACCCTCTCTTGTTGTTGTGGTTGAGTGATGCCGGCTTGTTGGTCAACAAGATCAAAGATGTGATCTTGGCTAACACACTCGTCTTCCATGACTACAATTTTGTTGTTTATGCTCCCTGAATCTTGATATTGGGGAGGAAGAGCAATCTGTGGGTATTGCTGTTGTTGAGTGGCCTTATCATCATCTTCGTGTAGTCCTCCTTCACCTTGGAGAGAAGAAACCATGTCTTGATCTTGCTGTTGATCATGAGTGAAATCAGGGAGTTCATCGATGTCAAACATGTCGCTGTCATCATCATCTTCTTGTAGTCCAAACTCCATATCCACTTCCGATCCTTCAACACCGGAGACGTGAGCGTTTGAGACCATATTGTTATTTCCGTCTCTGTTCTCTTGTTGTGGGTGCTCAACGATGATGTTCTCGTCTCTGTTCTCTTGTTGTGGCTGCTCAACGATGATGTTCATGTCTCTGTCAACGACGTTGTTCCTGTTATTGTCACGGAGGAAACACAAGACTACTTCTTGGAACTCGTTCTTATTCTCAAGCCAATACTCTGTCATACACCAACCAGTTTTCTCTCCTTTTGGCTTTCCCTGGACTTTTCTGTAATAAGCGAGTTCTGTTTTGTATCCGATCACAACCTCCTTATTACTCTCGTCGAGGATCTTCGTCTCTGCGCCAGTAGTCGTCCAAGTCCCACCGTTGCTGCCTTCTCTTCCGGGAACTGTGCGTTTGGGTGTGTTTCCAGCTCGACGTGTCCTAACAACGAAGTAATACCAATTCCTCTCGTTGAAGTGATCATTGATGACGTGCGGAAGAAGCCAAGGCTCGTCTTCGTAAAGTTTGATGTCTGTGATGAACCCATCTTTGCCTGTAACAACTCGTCTGCGCAGATAATACCCTATCAACTTCTCATCCGATGGAGTGAACTTGAGATCGATGGGATCGACCTCCATAAACATCGTTATGTATGAACTAGAAGATGCTCTGAAACTAAGCCCTAGAAAGACGGTTTGAATGAATGACTGTGAATATCTTGCAAGAACACGTGAATTATTCTTCTTCTATTTATAATACGTAGCTCACCGACAACTGTATATATTTTTTTTCTTTTTCTAACCTTATCCAAATCGTTCTTATTTTTTCCATATCCAATAAGCTAAGCCGGTAAATATCTTCTTTTTTTTTTTCTTAAACTATGATATTTTATTTGGTTTAATATTACATTAGTATCTCGAATCATTTTATTTATTTTAATAACTAAGATGATAATGTTGGATATTTCTAAAATGTTATAAAGTTGTAGTCAACCAAAATTCTCAATTTCATTTTTCCTTTTTTCCAAAAAATTAGATTATTATATTCCGATTAAGATCATAGAAATATTATGGTCAATACACCTTAGATCTATTACGTGAGGAAGAAGCTATTGGTAGGTGTTGCGGTCTTGTTTACGTAATAAATTTAGTAATACAGTGTTTTAGAGTAAACTGTTATTCCAAAATTTGGTCTGTCTTTTAGCAATTACCTTATGGCTTGCTTTAGTCGGTGAATATCTATTCCATCTGCTTTAATTCGACTTCAAATATGATCTATACGCTCTTCGATATTTTGATGGACATCTTGTGGCCGTATCGTAGAAAAAGTAAGATAATTAAGGCAGAGTGAGATGTTCACTTAACTATGAATCACTTGTATAATCAAAGAGAGATGGGATCCTAGCTAGGGCAGATGAAATAAATGCATGTTTCATGATCTTGGTGCTGTTGATTGAACAAAAAAAAATCTTGCTTTTTCAAAGTTAACTTGTGGCACAAGAAACATACTTTTTTGGTTATGACACGTTGATTAGAGAAAGAGGGATTCAGTTATTAAGAGGACAGAAATAACGCATGATAAAAATCATGCACCAACGTAGAAGAGCCGAAGATATTGCTTCTGGACTAAGCAACAAGGGCTCTTGATGCGTAATCAGAGTGATGATGAACCAAATTAGAGTTGTGGATTGTGGTGGCTCACAGGTTATCGACTATAAAAATGCTGACGTCATAGTAGTTAAGAACGGTGTGATCACTGAAAAAAGGAACTCACTGAGACGATGATCAAAATTGATGGTGGGGTTTATGAATGCTTCTAATTGATATCTTTATAAATATCACATTCTAAATCTTTGATACAATAGTTGATGTGAAAGCGTTGATACCACTACCACATAATTCTCTTTTTAATTGATATACTAATTACTGATATTACATTATATTTGGTTTTAGTGATTATAAAAGTAAACAAAACAAAATTTATCCCTGGTTCTAAAATTGAATGTGATCTTCTTTCAAAAAAAGGTTGTCTCTTTGCGGACATCATATAGGAGTAAAAATACTATACTATAAAATAAAAATAAAGATTAGAGCTCTTGGGAATAATTTGAAGCATATTTCTATAATGTTTTTTGTTGTTATCTAGAGATATCATTTTAGTTATTACCAAATTAAATAACATAGTTCGAAATACTAATATAATAACAACAAACCACCTGCTTTACTTTGATTATAAAAGTTTCCAATGAAATTATCTGTTACTAATGAGGAGGACCCAACCCAACCCATCTTATCTTTAGCATTTAAATTCGCGGAAATGGGACGGGACGTATCTATTGTGTTTCTAGCAAAATCTTTTCTTTTTGTCAAATGCTTCTACCTACTCTACATTCTTAAATTGGTTAGACTTTAATGCTTATAATATAGGGTTGTTTTGAAAATAAAAACGTTTATAAGTTTTAATTTGAGGAAAGGGAAGTTTTAAATTTTAATTAGGAGGGGTAGGGACATATTTTCAATATGGCAAACTTATCCTTCTTTCTGAGAGAAAGAGACAGAGCAGTCTGTTCCTCAGAGAGAGATAGAGATAGAAAATATCGTGGGTCCCATGCGTTCTCTACCTCCATGCGCGTATCAGCCGGGAAGAGAGCACTCACGCGCGTGTTTGGGTCGTTTTTTAGGCCTGATTTCAAATTTAGGAATGAAATTCCCAAAAACCACCTAACTGTGCCTCGGTTATGGGCTGGAAACTACCCAAGTAATTACACGAAAAACTACCCTTCCCATTCCCTTTTTAATTTTGGCGGGAAAAATTGTGGTTAATTAGGGATAATGGAGTTCATTTGGTTAAAATAAGAAACAAAGTACCCTAACCAAATTAGAAACCCTAGTTTCCCTTTCCAGAAGATGTTGAAATTAAATGGGAAATTATGCGATGATCTAGAGGACAACAACCCCGGTTAGTTACTTAATCCTATTATTGTACACCCATAGATTTGTCATTGTTATTTTCGATTTTTTTTCGGTCTGGTGTTCGCCATTTGCCAGTAGTTTTATAGATATGGTGTTCGCGAATTGCAGTGGATGCGTTCATTCTTGTTATGGCGGGAACGTGGATAAGGTACTATACAGGAGAATGGGATTTCAAAATGGACATATCTCGTCGTGGCAGGTGCATAAATTGCAAAGATGTGTCTGGACCAGATGATTTGAGAAATCTGATTGCGCATGAGTTCGGATTAGACACGAGAGTTGTTTCGGTGGAGATTTCCTACTGGTTTGATGATGTTTTAGCTGAGCTTAGTGGTGATGGGAGTTGTCCATGTGTAATAGTTACTCCTCGAGAGTACAAATTCTTCCTTTCGCTGCATAAGTCCGACAAGTCTGTGAATTTATTTGTCACATTCAAGGAGTCAGTAAATGGTCAAATGGTAAGATTGAAACGGAAGGAAAGTCTTGAAGTTCAAATTGCGAGGGAACGGCGAAAGTCCTTAGGGCCAACAAACTTCATAGCCTCTTCTTCGGCAGAGTCTAATCAACCCGATGATGAAGCAGATGATGAAGATATCGATGATTGTTTGCTGATAGCACATGCCGAGAAAATAGAGGCAGAGGCCGCAATGAACACCTCCAAAGATGTACAACTTGAAGTTGTCTCTGTTATCCATCCTCCATTGGGATTAAAAATGTCCCAGGAATCAGAGAAAGTAGAGGCTAAGGCCAGCACTAACACCTCCGTTAATGTAAAACCGGATGTTCCAAGTCACGCTGTCTCTGATGACCACCCTGAGTTGGAATTAAAAATGTCCCAGGAATCAGACGAGGCGAGAGATTCGGAAGAGAAGGAAGCTGATGATGTTGACGATGACGCACACGGCTCTGATGATGATTATGATCCGGATTATGATTTTGACTGGTGGAATGATTACGTACTAGCAGATGGAAAGGGTTTCCATTCTAAACCTGGATTTGATAAGGATAAGGATGACTCTGGTAGTTCAGGCGGTTGTGGAAGTACTCGCGGAAGTGAGCCGAGTGATTCAAACCATATGGACAACTCCATTGTCTTAACGGAGAGTCCTATTCATTTTCCTGGAAGAAAGAGGAATGTATGTGAGAATGTTCTGGCTCCCCATGGAGATGATGATGATTTTGTGCAGACTCCGACAGGTGATGTCAGTTGGGGGCGTCTGAATGGCGGTGCAGAGCTGAAGAAAGCGATTAAACGTACAGAACTATATGGATTTCTGGATGTGGCACCAGTCTCTGATGAAATGGGAGGGGATTTCGATGAACTTGATTTGTCAAATGAAGATGGAGAGATATGGGTTGGGAAAAAGTTTAGGAACAAGGAACACTTTAAAATCACGTTGGCCATCAATGTGCTGAAGAATATAGTGACGTTCGAATTCAAAAAGCATGCGAAGAAGTACACAGTCGCCGAATGTCCATCAAAGATATGTGATTGGAGAGTGTTGGGGTGTCAAGTTGGCGAGTCGGCGTTGTATGAGGTGAGGAAGGCGTGTTTGAAGCATACATGCCACCCGGATACAAGAAAGAAATTTTCAAAACATGCTACTTCTAAAGTCATGGCGGCTCTGCTGAAGTCTAAGTATGAGAATGCAATAGTTGGGCCACGTGCGAGTCAGCTACCTCCGATTGTTTTGTCCGAATATAATATTACAGCCTCGTACTGGAAATGCTGGAAAGCTAAGGAGCTGGCTATATACTCTGCTCACGGAACAGAGGAGACTTCTTTCAAATTATTACCGATTTACCTCCATGTGCTCAAGTATGCTAATCCCGGCACCATAACGCATTTGATAACCGAGAGCAAGATAGATGAAAAAGAAGGAAAATGTATTACCAGGTTTAAGTCCGTATTTATGGCATTGGCTGCGTGTATATCTGGATGGAAAGATTTGAAACAAGTACTTGTTGTTGATGGGACTCACCTCACTGGTAAGTATAAGGGTTGTCTATTAACGGCCAGTGGACAAGATGCTAATTACCAGGTATTTCCAATAGCGTTCGCCGTTGTTGATGCAGAGTCTGACAAGACGTGGAGGTGGTTCTTTGAGAAGTTGTTAGAAATTATTCCAGATTCCTCTGATCTTACTATTATCTTGGATAGGCACGGTGGAATTGCCAAAGCTAAAAAGAAATGGTATCCACAGTCACACCACGGTGCATGTCTTGTCCATATCCAGAGAAATGTTCACGGTAAATTCAAAGGTTTCGGTCAGAAAGGGTTGGTCAGAAAGGCTGGAGAAGCGTTCACAGTTTCTAATTTCAAGAGACTATACGCAAGGCTGAAGGATGTTGATTATGGTTGTTGGGAGTACGTGGAAAAATCCCTCTTGCGCTGTGGACTAGATCACACTTTTCTGGTCAGAGGTATAATATGACCTCCAGTAACATTGCAGAGTCTCTGAACAATGCACTATTAGCTCCAAGAGACAGTCCAATCGTTGCAATGCTAGAATTTTTCAGGCGAATGTTAAGTAGGTGGCTTGAATGCAGAAGAGAGACCATTCAAAAGATGGATGGTGACATTACAGAAGAGGTTGACAAGTTAATGAACCTGCAGCAGCAAAAATCTGCTGCACTATCGGTTCAAGGCATTTCTTTGTGGGAGGTTGAAGTGAGTTATGAGTTCGGTGTACGGAGGCTTGTTGATCTCGAAAACAAAACATGCTCATGTCTAGAGTTTCAGACATTGAAATACCCTTGCCGACATGCAATGGCCGCGGCTAGGCTTCGCCAAGTGGAATACAGCAGTTTGGTTGATCCAATTCTTAAGAAATCAATTTGGAGTGCAACGGTTTCTGGCAAAATCCTACCGGTGCCCGACCCTGACGACATTCGTATCCCAGCAGAGGTGCGTGACCTTATTATTATGCCACCTAAGGCAAAGCGTCCATCAGGAAGGCCTACGACGAAGAGAAAACTTTCAGCAGGAGAGTATCCTCAGGTTAGTGTACACTAAACATATATTTTTTCCCCAGTGATACTGATTACTGATTAATGATTACTGATATACGCTGTTGCAGGTTGCGAAAAAAAAGAAGCCAAACAAATGCTCTAGATGTGGAAATGCCGGCCATAACCGGGCAAAATGCAAGGAACCATTGGGTTGACCAGGTGTGGCTTTTGTGTGTCTCTTGATGTTTTTTTTGTGGGGATGTTGCTTTGTTTTTTGGGTTTGTTTGTAGCGTACACTATGTTTCCCTATATTTAAACTTGGAAAGGCATGAACTATTTTTAATGTGTTATGAAATTTATGATGTTTACTGGTCAGGGTTTACACCCATGACGGTGGACATGTTGCTTTGTTTTTCGGGTTTGTTTCTAGCGTGTAGACCCTTGACGGTGGACACAGTTTGTGTACACTGTGATGGTGGATAACATCAATCAGTTTACATCATATAGTGTACACTGTGATAGCGTAAACTATGTTTAATTTGTTATGAAATTTATGATGTTTACTGGTCAGGGTTTAGGGTTTAGACGGTGGACATGTTGCTATATTTTTCTGGTTTGTTTCTAGCGTGTACACCCTTGACGGTGGACACTGTTTGTGTACACTGTGATGGTGGACAACATCAATCAGTTTACATCATATAGTGTTTTCGCATTATGGCTTATGTATAAGTTTACATTTATATGGTGTAGCATATAAATTTATGTGTATGGACGTTATGGGTTAGGGTTTAGGGTTTAGGGTTTAAGGCTTAGGGTTTACGATGAAGGCTTTAGGCTTTATCTTATTAAGGAATCAAAATACTTAGTACAGGCGTGGACAATGATCTTGTCTTTAATTTGAAATTGTAGGACAGGACAACACGAGTAAACGGTTTTTTCAAAAAACAAGTCATTACAGTTTTGAAAATCGCAATAATGAAACCAGTGTCTGAGGAATAAACGCGTTTCAAAAAATCAAATTGGAAACGACAAAAACTAATTAAGTACCTTTTTTGAAACCTGTTGCACCGTTTGACCGACTCGTTTCCCTTCTTTACTTTATAATGTGTTTCCGGTCGTCTTCTATAAAAACTGTCCCCTGCCTTCTTCAGTGAAACAAGTTTCCGGAGATAGAAAAAGTTAATAACAGCAAAAGTTACGTACTTTCTAAACATGTACTCTGCGAAAGTGATCTCATTGCAATTGAAGGAAGTGGAGAGGAAAAACAGTCCATGTTTCATTACAGGTATTTGATGGTTAATTTGAAAATAGGGCATTAGTTAAGTTTTAGTTTTACAGGGTCGCTCTTTTACATCGTCTACCTAATTAGTGTTTGCCGATTTCATTAGGACATGTGGGTGAGGACTTGTATCACTGGGAAGCTATCATAACGGGGCCTAAAGGTTCACCCTATGAGAATGGTGTTTTCAAAGTAGACATTCACTTTCCGCTTGACTACCCTTTCGCGCCACCTAGGGTAAGGAATGAAGCATATGATTGCTCTCTAAAATTACTGTATTTTTAGGGTTTAGGATTTAGTCAATAAAGATTTCAATTACTAATAACACTGATTTTTTTCAGGTGATGTTCAAAACAAAAGTGTATCACCCAAACGTTAATAGTTATGGGAACATTTTTTTGAAGATGTTGAACCCAACTCACTTCAGGACCAATAACAGCATCAATGATGTATTTTTACACATGAAAGAAATAAATCGTTATTGTCTTTTAGGGAATATAATATAGTAATTCCGTTTAAATAAGGGCTTATCTGTGTTTACATGTATATGTAATCAGATACTGACGGAAATACACCAAATGTTTACTGCCCCCCCAAATAGGCGAAGGACACTTTTTTGTTGAAGAAATGGCTAGGATTTACGTGGAAGACAGGGCTGCTTTTGAAACCACTGCACTTGCGTGGACGGTGGAGCACGCCGGAGGAGCATAAACTCCTTAATTGTACTTTTAATTATGTTTGTTGAATTGTGTTTTTTGTTTTGGAAAAAAATAAGACCTCTATTTTGTTAGCGTGTATTTGGTTGGGAAGTTTATGACTTCATATTAACTTTTTAATATCATTTTGTGGTTTTTATGTTTTGGATTTGATAAATTGTCGAAGCATAAATTGTCCACAACGCTTTCAGAAAACATAAATCATGGAATATTAATTCAAAGATTTTTAATATCTCTAAGACACGTTTTGGGCTTCCTTGAAAACGTTTGGGCCCAACTCCTTCTTCAAATAGGAAACAAAATCGCCTTTTCCTTATTTCTCCAACAAGTGTCGCGCGTCACTCTTCATGGTGTCGAGTGTCACCAAAGCACAAAATCCATACTTGACGAATTTGATCCTGATTAAGCTCCAAAGTGCTCCAAAGTCTCCATTTAAGCTCCAAACGTACCTATGACCTGAAAAGACTCCAAAAGACTCGAAAGACACTAAAAAGACTCTATAAATAGGACTTATACCATGGTTAAAAACCATAAAAACCATAAAAACCATAAAAACCATGATATATCAACTCCCCCAGACTTAGAATTTGCTTGCCCTCAAGCAAACAGAACACCAAACAAGAGAAAGAAGTTTGAAAACACAGAGACTCAACCTTTCATTGGAATATCGCCCTTGACCAATTGCCTGCAACTCAACTACTGCTTCATCATTCCAAATCGAACCACCATGTACTTCTCCGTAGACATTCACAGCTTTCCAGACTAAATCCAAAATTTCACAACATTGTCCATAAACCCTCATCGCTGGATCTCACTGATGATTCAGATCCCAAGAACCTTCTAGATTCTTTCCCATTCTGTACTCAAACAAATCAGCCATACAAACTTTGGTACTTTTCTCTCCCCCAGACTTATTCTTTTCGCACACTCATCATCATTTTTTTTTTATGGCATATACTCGATAAGGGTAAAGCTGCGAGTACTGATGGTGTTTGCCACCAAGTCCCCAAGTTGTCCCCTTACCTTGTATCAAAGGTTTTCAGCGAATAGTGGGGTCATGGAAAACATTCCTACCCCTCACTTCCTTCCTTTGTGTGATCATTCCAACTTAGAAGTGAAATAATGGGATCATTGGAAACATTCCTAGCCCTTCACTCCTAAGCGAAAATCATCTCAATCTTTTTGCCTTCTTTGTTTTTCTTCTTCTTAGCTCGTTACAAGGGAGAGAAATACCAACATTAAATTTCACACAGGCTTTCATTGATCAAGTATGAACGAGGAATCAAGCTCTAAGGCATTAGTCACATCAGCGAGTTAAAAGTGAAGTTCAGTACTTAGCTCAGGTTAGTGGATTCTGTTGGAAACATGGACGCCTCTAGTCAACTGGTCAGCCTTTGGATTTTTCATTAGTCGGATCTAGACTGAATCTGCAGCAGTGGTCACTTAGGTGAAAGGTCAGCACAATAATTCCAGGAAAAGCATCATGATCTCCAACAGGTTTTGACTCAAAAATGTTTCGACACGACTGACTCTTAAGAAAAACAAACACAATGTCAGCAACTACCTCCCCCAGACTTGAATAACACTGTCCCCAGTGTTATCAAATCCGAAGTTGGTGACAAAAGAGAAAGTCAGAAGGAAGAATGCAACGGGTTAGAATATCTTACTACTCAGTTAGGTCGACCAACACACAGCTCAGATTCAGCTGAAAACAAGCGTAGGTCAAAAGTGCAAGGGTGGTGACACGCGATACCAAAGATGGTGTCGCTCGACACCACAGTGCAGAGAGCAATCGTCGCGATCATCTATGTTAGAACTGTCAGATCACTCAGAGAAAAGTTAGTAGTAACAATACAACCCATAGATGCATAAATCCAACAAAGTCTCACAACAGGTGTAGCTGACACAACAGACTCAAACAAACGAAAAGAAAAGATAAGAAAAACACAAGAAAAGAAAACAGAACCAGAATGACAAAGGAACTAGTCCTCATCGCCAGTAGTAGCATCATCAAAGGGTGTGGGTGAGCGAGATCACGGGCGAGTAGGGCGAACACATCCGCAGCGAGAGATAGTAGCGATGGCACTCCAGATGCTCTGAAAACTCTGAATGACATACCGCTGGAAAGCAGCAGCCTCCATGGGAACCTCTGGCGCGGTGGGGAGATCAGGGAGAGGTACTGTGGTGTCTGCGGAGCGAGGTATCTGGTCGTCCTTGGAAGTGGAAGCACGAGCCCTTGAAGAAGAACCGCGAGACACAGTAATCAAGACTCTCCTCTCTGGCATGAAACGAAGCGCGGCGCAGGTGGTGCCTATGTCAGTGCGGGCGCGATCAGGGAGCTGAATCCGGTATGAACCATCTGCAGTGCGAAGAGACCACTGATTGTTGTGGTTGATCCAAGAAGCGTGGCGTAGGTGATCCAAATCAATAGCTCGGCGAGTCGTGACAATGGTGCTGTTCTCCGTGCTGATCCGAAAATACTGGAAGATAGGGGTCAGCAAGCTGCCAACAGACTCAGTCCGCTGCGTCGTTCCTGCTCCAGAAAAAGGCTTGGCTTGCAAAGAAACCAAGTGATGAGCGAAAACAGCTCCCATGTTGACATCAGTAGCGTGCGCGGAACTCCGGTAATGCTCACCATCTGTCAAATCACCAATGCCAACATAAAGAAGAGCCAACTCAGAGAGACGCATCTTACCCGGGGTCGACTTGCACTGAATAGTGTTGCCCAGGACACGTAGAAGGCATCGCAGAATAGGTTGGCGCACGTCGGTCTGGGACGTAGTTTTCGAATCATAACGCCCATTCCTAAAATGGGACCAGAAATCCTGCACATCGAACATCTGAGTAGGGAGGGTGACTCTCGGGAGGTCCTTGCGAAACCCATATAAGGCACATAGGTCGCGAAAGGGGAGCCTGTAACGAACTCCGCGGATCATGAAAGTCAGAGTGCCCTCCTGCGCATTTGGAGAATGTTCGTTGGTGTAGTAGATGCGAACAGAGGCGAGGAACTGACGAACAAGGTCAGGAAACAGATCGTAGGGTCTGGTAGCCATAGATCCCAATCCAAGCTTCGTCAACAAACGCAGGAGCTCAGAATCCAAACCCAAACGCCTCATATCCAGAATGTCCAAAAACCTGGTGGGGAGTATCGTCACAGTGAGCCAGGCGTTGTAGAAGAAAGTGTCGTAATCATCCCAGTCATCTGAAATTGGCCTGTGTA